AGATTTTCCTCATCAGCCTAATTACCTCCTCTGCCCATCTCCCTGGCTCAGATCTGTGCTGAACACGGGCACGGGGGGCTCCAGGTGAGTCTCCCAGTGCCTTGTGTTACAAACTAGACATTCCTCATCTTGACGGGAAATGCGCATTCTTGTTGCATTCTAGGATTTCAATTATCTGCAGCCTCACAGTGCCCAGCTCCTGCTCATAGCCTTCCTATGATTCACCAGCACGACTGAGATTTTTTCCATATTGTAGAAGAAACCGTTGGTTTTAGTTCCCAAGTGCATAACCTTAAACAGTGCTGTGCTGAATTTCTTCCTACTTCACTTCATCACTTCTATCTCCGTGACACCATGACCCTCATCTTGGTGTTCACTTGGACCAAGGACTAGGAAGGACATGGCCATCCCCTTCGCCTTCTTCTGGTCACAGCCTGGTCAGACTCTTCTCCTTCCCTCACCCCCAAACTGCCATGGCTGCAACAGCTCTGAAGGCAACAGGAACCAAACTGAATTTAGCGTTCTGGTGTCCATTGGGTGCCCTCTTTGCCCACAGAAACCAAGGGAGTGTCTTGCTTCTCCCACCTTACTACAGTCCTAGACCTCTCGAACGTGCTGTCTGGTCGCTTTTCAGGATACACAGTTCCAAATGTTTAACACTGTGTCTTCTGGAAGGGAAATCTGAGTTGACAGAGTCTGGGGAGGGAAGAAATGGCCAAATGCCTGGTATTTCTATGCGGTGCTGCTGTGCTCAGTCACCAAGTGCTTGTAAGAGGTAAGCAACGAACTGGAAGTCCAGTTCATAACTGGAGAGGACTCAAAAAAAAGGTAGTGAGGAGTCATAGCTACGTGTCTTCCTCTTCCAGGAAAAATCCAAGCTTTTTTGGGTGTGTCACCCCTGGCTCCAGGGACTGGGTGTATAGACAGCCCCTGCAATTCTAAACCAGAGGTCCTTTCTACTGGTGAGTAAAACCTAGATATGTCTTTCTGTCTGTCTCCCTTTCCTTCATGATTCTTTCCTGTGTTGTAAATTGGTTCCCAACAGAATAAAATCACTGGCAACACCTTGATAAGGTCTCTATTTTGTTTTTCCTGACTCCTGTGATGAGAAGCACCAGACACCAGGTTCCCTCAGTGTAAATGAAGCGGTAAATGTGACCTGGGAGGCTCTGAGTTTCTCCTGAAGTATCACACATCCTTCCCTGATTTCGGAGTCCACGTCTGCTGGGCTCTGCTCCACTGAGCTGCAGAGCTGATATGTAGAGGTAACACAAAGTCGGAGTTTTGCAGAGAAATACTCCTTTGTTAGCAGAAAAGCCAGGAGAGAAACACGGGTCACCCTAAACTTGTCATGGTTTATGGTCTTAATGCAATTTATCTTGGCTGTCACACATCTCTCTTAAAACAGGAATATTAGCATAGCTCTGCACCATATCCCAAAGAGTTCTTGGTGCTGTAAGAAAGAAAACACGGAAGGAAAATCTAGTGTTTTCAACCCAAAATCAGAGGAACTCTGGGTATGTCTGCACTGGCTGCTCTTCTACAGGTCACCAGCAACTGGGACCGGGGACGTGTGCGGGGACCCTTGGGCCTCGCTCCACAGCCGGCTCCAGCCACCGAGGGCTTCACGCCGGCCCTCTGAAGCTGTGCCAGTCGGGAGAGCGCGGTGCGGTGCGGTGCGGTGCGGTGCGGTGCGGTGCGGTGCGGTACAGCGCGGGACGGTGCGGTGTGGTGCGGTGCGGTGCAGTGTGGAGGGGTATGGTGCACTACAGTGCGGCATGGTGCGGTGCAGTGTGTTACGGTGCGGTGCAGTACGGTGTGTTACGGTGCAGTACGGTGTGTTACGGTGCAGAACGGTGTGTTACGGTGCAGTGCAGTACGGTGTGTTACGGTGCAGTACGGTGTGTTACGGTGCAGTACGGTGTGTTACGGTGCGGTGCAGTACGGTGTGTTATGGTGCAGTATGGTGTGTTACGGTGCAGTACGGTGTGTTACGGTGCAGTGCAGTACGGTGTGTTACGGTGCAGTACGGTGTGTTACGGTGCAGTGCAGTACGGTGTGTTATGGTGCAGTACGGTGTGTTAGGGTGCAGTACGGTGTGTTACGGTGCAGTACGGTGTGTTACGGTGCAGTATGGTGTGTTACGGTGCAGTACGGTGTGTTACGGTGCAGTATGGTGTGTTACGGTGCAGTACGGTGTGTTACGGTGCAGTATGGTGTGTTACGGTGCAGTATGGTGTGTTACGGTGCAGTACGGTGTGTTACGGTGCAGTGCAGTACGGTGTGTTATGGTGCAGTACGGTGTGTTAGGGTGCAGTACGGTGTGTTACGGTGCAGTACGGTGTGTTAGGGTGCAGTACGGTGTGTTATGGTGCAGTACGGTGTGTTAGGGTGCAGTACGGTGTGTTACGGTGCAGTACGGTGTGTTACGGTGCAGTACGGTGTGTTACGGTGCAGTACAGTGCAGTATGGTGTGATATGGTGCAGTGTCGTGCGTTATGGTGCGATACGGTGCGATATGGTGCGATACGGTGCAGTGAGGTTTGACGCAGAGGGGCTCCCAGCAGCTCCGAGTCTCCGCTGAGGCTCCCTGCATTTATCAGGATCCCCATCTCCATAGCAACTGAGCACCTCGGAGGCACTAATGAATATTTCTGCACAACACGCCTGTGAAACACAGCAGCGTGATTAGCCCCATCTTAGAGATGAGGAGCTGAGGCAGAGTCAGATGAAGCAGCCTTCCCAGGCACAGGTACAGGGTCTCTGGCAGAGCTAAGAAAGCTTTCTGTGCCCCCACCTAGGATCTTCCTTTATTTTTTTGTATTTGCTGATAAAGGACACCTGAAATTGGAGGGATTCCAATCTGTTTTATTTCCCTTTCCTTCAGAGCCTGCCGGAGGAAAGGTTGAACGCACTGATCTTTTTTTCATCGTGTAAGATGTTCCTTGAGAAAGTAAGTGACATCTCCCTGCCTGGCTGTGAGAGGCGGCTGCTCTGGAACATGATGGTCCCGTGGCCAGCCAGAGAAACCGCTTCTCGCCCAAACCCAACTGCAACTTCACCCACAACCTCCCTCCGCAAAACACCTGCTCACGCGAGAGTGAGGGAAGTGTGGAAAAGACATTATATATCTGGAAATAAACCAATTCCTGGATGCAGAGAAATTCAGAAAACCTCAGAAAGCCCTTGAGCACCTTCCAGCAGCCTGCCTGGGGGTGCCACCAGAGCCCCCAGCTGATCTACTGAAGGTCCCTTTGGTGTCTCTGGCCGCTGCAGCTCAAGCACCACACGGGCTCAGCAGGGAGTTTCACAAGCTCTCCCACAGATTGTGAAAGTGATGCCTAGAATGATCGTTCAGCCTGATATAATTAACTTGCCACTCATTAGGGGAAAGGACAAGGGCTACTGCAAGAAATTGCCACCCTAAGAAGGATCAGACCAGTGTGGGACCAGTTACAGCAGTAACAGAGGACACAAGAGCGGAGGGGTCTGTTCCCAGGCTCGACCAGGCTACAGCAGCTGGGACACAGCTGAGATTTTCCACTTCTCCCATCTCCCCTCCTTGGCCAAAGCCGAAGCCGCAATACCACCTTCTGGTAATTTCCATTACTGCATCACCCCCTGCTCCCATCCTGCCTTAAATAAGGACAAACATGCCATCACCGCACTCAGATCATGAGGGCTTATGCTTACAAGGAGTCTTTTAAAACCTTCAAAACCAGAAAATTAAAGAAGAGGGAACATTTCAGCTCCTTTGCAATGCTTCAATCTGTGATGTTATTAGAGCAATTTGGTGTCTTGGTGCACAATCCCCATTGCCTGTTGCAGCTGAATGATTTACTGCCCTTAAAGGAGAGTGCAGCGTGTAAAATTAGGAGTGTGAAAAGATTAAGTGATTTACAACTTGGAGCACTTGCAAACGTGGGGAAAGGCTTCAAGGGCTTTGCAGGCTGCCCTGGCATTTGCTGCCAGCACAAATTCTCCAGTTTCCAGCTCTGTCTTCCCAGCCTCCCCGGGGAACTCGCGTCTTGCTGCCACCGTCTTGAGGGGGAACCTCAACGTGCAGCTCTCACCCACGGGAGCGTCCCCAGGGATGCCCCAGCTGCTCCCCAGCGTCCCAGCAGCTTGGCGGGATGGACACCCTCAGCACGGGCATGTCACCCTGCACTGAGCCCTCTGTCACCAGGCAGCCGCCCTCCTCCCATTCAGCCGGGTCCTGCCCCGCTTTCGCTCCCACCTCCGCGGCGCCCGCAGCACCTTCTCTCAGGATGCGTTTACAGCCAGTTCAACTGCCTGAAGTCTCAAGGATGGGCAGAGCCAACCCCTGCCCCTCAGGCTTGCTCACGCTTTTGCTGCGAGTAGAATTATCAGAGGGCTAAATAAAAGCTGCTTCGTGTTTCAGGCCTTTGCCAGAGCGCCGTGGCGCAGGCCCAGCCTTAACAGAGGCACTGCATCCCTCAGGTGCCTCCTGAGCCCCCCCAACCCGCACCCACAGCCCGCCTCGGCCAGGCTCACGCTCCCTGTGAGGGTAAGAGCCATCCAAAGCGCCCTCTCCCCTTCCGCAGGTACACACGTCGATGGCTGCGCCCGGGGAAGCGGCCCCGGCCCCGGCCCCGGCCCCGGCCCCGGCCCCTCAGCGGCCTCACGGCGCGGTTCCCGCCCTCAGCCCCCGGCGCCGCACCGTTGCCAATCAAGGCCCGGCGCATGCGCAGGCACCCCAGCGTACGTCTGCCCTCCCGCCTAGTCCCGCCCTCCGCCCTCCCATTGGCCGGCGCCGGGGGGGGCGGTGAGCCAATCGCGCGGCGGGGAGGCGGGCGAAGGGCGGCGGCGCCTGCGAAGATGGAGGAGTACGCGCGTGAGCCCTGGTGAGCGGCCCGCGCGCGGGGGCGGCGGGGGGGGGGGGGGAGAACAGCGGCAGGAACAGCGGGGCGGGCGGGCGGGAGGGCGGGCGGCTGTTCCCCCCGGTGCCGCTTCCCCCCTTCCCGGTGCGGCTCCCCCACCCTCCCCCGGGGGTGTGACCTTGGCGGGGCCCCTCTGAGGGAGAGGCGGCGCGGGAGGCCGGGCTGAAGGGAGCGGCCGCGGAGGCCCCGCCGGGGGTTTCGGGGCCTAGGTAGCCAAATTCCCGTCGGTACCGAGCGCGGCGGGGCCTTCCTGACGGGAGGAGGCGCCGCCGTGGCGGCTAGGCCCTGCGGCCTGCCCCGCGTCTGGGCCTGCCTGGGCTGCGGCCCCTGGGCGCACGCTTCCTGGTCGGGCGGCGCTTCGAGCCCTCCCCCGGGTCCCCAATGTCCCTCTGCCCCCCCACCGGGTCCCCTCTGCCCCCCCACCGGGTCCCCTCTGCCCCCCCCCCCCCCCCCCCCCCCCCCCGTGACTCTGCTTTTCTCCCCCGCCGGTTCCGTGAGGCGGGAGTGCAGCGGCCCGGCCTCAGGCGCAGCCTTAACGCCCAACCGGCGGCATCTGAACCCCGTCGCGTTTCTGCGGTGCCTCTTTAAACGTTCACAGCCGCGTTGGTTGCAACTTAAAGGTTTTATTTGTAGCAACGAAGCGTTTAGATTAAACCTTAGGTTCGGGATTAAGTGTAGAGCGTTATGCTTGTCTCTGCAAAGAGAGACCTGTGACTGTTCATGAGGCTTATCCCAAAGTTTTGCAGGTTGCTCTGCTGCCACATTTTAAGTTTCTCCATAAACGTCAGCTCTGCCTCTCCACAGCACAAAGTTTGGGACATCAGGAAAATAAATTTTATTTATTGATTGATTACTGTGGGCAATCTCATTATCCCTTTGGCAGAGCCGCGCAATGTTTTGCTGCTAAGCTGTTGGGGACCCCACGCAATTTTGTCCTGTTTTGCTGCTGGTCACCCCGTTATCTCCCCTCCTACCCCAGCAACTTGGGGGGGTTCAGCCCCCTGGAAGCCGCTGTTACTGGGAGCGGTGTGACCTCGCTGGCAGGTGACACTGTAGGACCTGGCTGTAATTCGCACGGCAGTTGCCTTCACTAGAAGTGGGGATTGTTGCACGGGCCGAGAGGATGAAGCGCTGCCCCTTTTGCTGCAGAGCTGGTGTCAGGCTGGTGCGCCGCTGAGCCGTCGGCGCTGGGAAAAGGCAGCTTTGTTGATTTAAAACACGGTGGCCTCTGACTCTTGTGGTTCGTCGGCTGTCAGAGCTGCGGGCAGCTGTGGAGCCTGGGGGGACGGTTCCCCTCTCCGAGCAAGGGTCTCGGCTCACGGGCAGTCAGAGCTGGCCTGGCACTGGCCAGGTTTCCTCACTGTAAGCCACCGCAGCTCCCTCTGAGGTGTTGGGGTATCTGCAGCCTCTCTGGTCAGTCGAGCGGGTGTGCAGCTGCTCTGGGGCCCTGGCATAAGTGAAGTCCTGGCCTCTGCTCTCGTCTCTAAGTGATCTCGGGTGCCATCGGGAGCAGGAATCTGACCTTATCTTGTGTGCAGCAGTGAGCACATAATTTCTGTGCTGTGAGGTGTCCACTTAAAGTCAGGGAAACCATTAGCGGTAACATTAAGCTTATAGATAAGTGCCAAATTAATAATGGAATAACATCATTTATTCTCTTCTGATTCTTCCCTCTACTGAGGTCAAGCACTGCCAGGGGCTGTGGAGTGTTTTGTGTCAGCTTTCAGATGCACACGGCATCTGTCTGGGAGTTCAAAGGAGCTGACATACAAAGTGGCTGTGCTGGTATCAAAGGTGTTTTCTCATTTAAAAGTTACTCCTGCAGAGGCTTGGAGGATAGTTTAAAAGGAAAATTAAGAACCCCAAAGGTAACAGCTAATGAGCTTGACATCTGAAGCAAGGTTAAAGATGGAAAAAATCTAGGAAAGCATTCCATGATTGAGGTCTAATTAACGAAGCTTCTGTAAAGAACAGTCATGATTTACTACACAGGAATTCTTTGACCTTGTGGGTAAAGGCAGACCACTTTACATAATCTATTTAGATTTCCAGAAAGCCTTTTAACAAGATCACTGTTAGCAAGTTAACAAAGGAAGAGAGTTGTGATGAGATGTTTTATTCATAACAGAGTAGATCAAAATCTGGACAGGAGATGTGGAGAAGAACAAAACAACAAAAAAATCCTGAGAAGAAAGACTTAGTCGCTTTTCATCTTGGCATCTCTGACAACAGTGTGCCTGTAACGTCTTCCTGATCATTAAATGCAGGAAATAGGGGAAGGAAAATAAAATGTGAAACGGGTCTAAATTATTTAAGTTAGTCAAGTCTGGAGGGCATTTGTAAGGAGTATGAGATGAAAGAGAAGGCAATAAGAAAGAAGGGTCATGTGTGGTGGAATAATGTACAGTCTTTCCACTGTTTTCTGCTTAGTGTGGGTTTGGGACCTGGATATTGCTGTCACTGGGGAGGATCAGTGGTGATGTTTGGGTGGGTTCTGGTGTGTTTGGAACCGCCAAGCGAAGCCAAGATGGAAAAGCAAAGCAAGTGAACAACACCATGTGTGCAAACAATTTACCTTCGTTTAGAAGGCACGCAGAGCTGGCTGTGTGTTCGCATTAAAGCAACTGCAGAGGTAGATTCAGAAGTAGGTCATGAAAGTGAGGAGCCTGGGAGAACGTGTAGGAGGAGGGACTGCAAATTTTAGAAGTTTTTTTCAGGAATCAAAAAAACACCTCATGACAAAATATGCAGTACAGCAAGGGGTCTGGGGAAAAGAGGCGATGTTTTTCACTCCTTGCAGCAGAAGAGCATTAGCATATTCTGTGAAGTAGAAGAGTGGCAGATTCAGAACAGATCAGTGAAGGTGTATTCTCATGTGCAGGAGCTGGATCCTGTAGAGAATCCTCAAGAGCAGAAACATGAAATTCAGCGTGAAATCACAAATGCACATTGATGCCCTTATGTGTGATTTGCTGATGTGAACACCGTGCTTGCTGTAGTGTTCAGTTTTGTGACCGAGCATGTTGTTGTAGTCTGCTTCTTGCTAGGCTTGCTGATTATTGCCAGTGCAGGAGTTACAATCATCTGAGTGCTTGGCTTCTGCTGTAAGATTTTGATAGAAGATGAAAGAAACAAAACAACTTTGTTATTTTATGCTTCAAAATTACCAGCAGTGGCAACAGAGGTTAATAGCAGGTTAGCACTCACCTAGTTTAGGAGCTCAGTTTATTGACGGAGAGTTGCAAGGCTCTAGTGCTTGTCAGCAGTTTTCAACCCCAAATTAAAGCTCATCTCACTGGTGTTGAAAGCGTTTCCTGCGAGGAAGGTGCTCTATGTATTGCAAAGCTTTTGCTCGCTGGTTGGAAACATTTGAGGCTCCGTGTTGTTGGAGGCAGGAATCGTGGCCTTCTGGACCTCTGACTAGATCTGTGTTTTGTTTGAATGAACTTCAAAGATCTAGGTTGCATCATGAAAAACCTTTTCAGTTTAAAAGATGACTTTGAAGCCTCTCATTTAAATAACCAGAACTAATGAAAAACATGAGTAATTCAGGAAAGTGGTGTTCTATGCCAGCTGTGAACCGAGTCTCATTGAATTTGCCGCTTAAGTTTTCTGTAGGTCAAGACATGAATGAGAACAGTAAATTTAAAGCTATTTACACTTTGTAAGTAGGACAGAGATGGAATTCTGCAGAAGTTTTACATTATGGAAATAGGTCTCTGCCTTGTGTGAGGAGTTCAGGCAGTTCTGTACATTTGATGCTCACTACTCTAGGGATATGGGTTGGTAGACTCTTGGCAAAGGTTGAGTTTGTTTTGCTGTAATATTACCTGTCCGTGTGTTTTGTTGATGTCAGCTCTGCAAGCTGGATGTGAGACAATACAGCTGGCAGGCTTGATTTTCACTTCAGTTACACTCAGTGCATGAGTGGTGGATCCATCACAGTTACTTGCACAGTTTGACATGATGGAATTTAGTATTTTCATCTTTATTTTTCTTTATAGTCCCTGGAGGATAGTAGATGACTGCGGAGGTGCTTTCACAATGGGAGCGATAGGAGGTGGCATTTTCCAAGCTATCAAGGGCTTCAGAAATTCCCCAGTGGTAAGTAAAAACTTTTCAGAGTGCAATCAGAGTGCAGTCCTGCTTTCTGTGTCCATTGACAGTGAATCTGTCCAGCTGGAGGTAAAGGAGAAGCAATCCCTGTGCAGGGTGTGGGACTGATTAAGGCCCTGCATGTCATTAATCCAAACCAGGCTCGGGATCCAGATGGGTCCTTCATCTTTCTGAGTAAAAGTTCTGCTTCCCCTGGCTTGATCTGATGGCAGTGGTGGGATGCTGGCAGCCAGCTGCCCTCCCTTGCTGAGAGGCATCTCCCTCAGGATGGGGAAGTGGAGGGTGCAGCAGAAAATGACTGTCTCTCCTCATCTTCTGCCTTTGGTTCCGTCCTCACGTAAAGATGTGAAGCCTGGGCTGTTCTGGCCTACCCCCCTCCCTTTCTTTTAAGAAATGGAAAGGCTCAAAGGAATAATCTTCTCCTTCAGATTTATATTAGGGGGTATTATTTTCTTTAATTAATCTCTTATTTAGTTATTAACATTTTTTATTAGTTGGATTTTTTTTATAATCGGGTTTTGTTTAAGTGCAGAAGTGTGCGTAAACATGAAAGTTGAAGTTTAGCTGATGCAAGTCAGTTGTCACTTTCAGGATTTCTGCTGCAAAATTTTGACTCTAAACCCGTTGTAGAAACACTTGATAAAATAAGATCCAATTTCTACTTGAACATTTGTTTTAAAATGTTTCTCTGTCTTCATATAAAAGGGGTTTTAGTTGAGTGTTTTTTGGTGCTGCTGTGTGACACTTAGTATACCATCAGTTTGAAGTAAGTTTTGTAAATAACTAACTGCTTCCAAACTAGTCAGATCCTGCAGATGCTTAACCTGAAAAGGATTATATGCTTCACTACATTCTTAATTTTGCTTAAGTCTTATTAAATAAACTTGTCCACGCTTCTGAGCGCTTGTATCAAAAATAATACTTGGGTGTATGTTCTTTAAATCTTCTTAAAGTGTGGAAAGATATCTAGTTATAATTCTGTGGGGTCCTAGATGACGTGTTTAGTGTGAGGCCCTGGAAGGCTTAGCACCACATTTAGGAGCTGAGTTGCTCGCTTCTCTTAGCTACTGAGACTGGGCTGATGAGACAAGGACTAAATACCCCACCTGACCAGCAGGAATGACTAAATTTCAGACAACCAGTGAGATTGCTGTGGCCAGGCTGTGGCACCTGCCATAGCGTTGTGGTTGTTGCAAATACCTTAATAGTTTGAATCCTAGAATATTATTTTGATTTTAGTTTAAAATATGACCATGATTTAAAATGGAGTTACAGCAGCTATGACCATGATTTAAAATGGAGTTACAGCAGCTATGACAATATAAGGTATGTTGCAGCCCTTAGGAACAGATAACGAGTATGGTGTTTACCTTAATCACTATAGGAATTGTTATGGACTCTGAATCAAAACGATGGGTACTGGTTATGGATCTTGATTTAAAATGACTCTGTAACCATGACTCTGCTGAAAAAGTGTATAAATATGTGGTGTTTTGTATCTGTCGTTGAGCACGTCTTTGGCGGAGCTATCCCCCGTGTTCCCCAGCGCTGGACTAAAGAAGTGCCGGCTTATCTGCTGTGTGTAGATCCGTTCTTTCGCGACCGCGACCGCTAACATGGTGGTTGTACTAAAATAGATAAAATACTGATGGAAATGTAATATAACAGCGTGCCGTTTTCCTCTTAACGCAGCCGGTGGCTCTCCTCCCCTGTTCTCCATGGGCGGTCTCTCCTCCCTGTGGTTACCTGCACCTCATGCTGCTCTTTGCTCTGCTGGTGTCCTGTGTGCACACTGTGTCAAGGACCGGGAATTAGATAGGAACAGAGAAATGATACATGTGAAAACTAAATATGCTTATCTTGCTAAAAGCGTTACTCTAAATGCTTCGTTTAATCCCCACTACGCCACTCAAACAAACTTTGAACTCAAATTTTTAAGTGCCTGATGGCTGTAATTAATTTCTGCAGTTGACATGTATATTATAAGGGAGTGATAAATACTCAAGTATGTGTAAAATGCAGTTTCTGTCAGCTCCTGACCACAGCTGTTGAGGCTGCTTAGAAGTATGTTGGGCCTCTGGCAAGTTTTTGTTATATACAGTCAGATCAGCTGTAAGACTTCAGTCTTTTATTTTAACTGTCATTTCTTTTTTATTGTAGGGTGTAAACCACCGGCTGCGAGGAAGTTTGACAGCTATTAAAACAAGAGCTCCACAACTGGGAGGTAATTAATTTTGTATTGTTGCTGCAGTCAGTCAACTGATGGTAGATAACCCAGTTTGAGAATATAATGTGGTCCAAGTGCAGCGACACCTGAGCTGTGAGCCAGCTGTGTTTCAGCAGGGTTTGTTAGTCCTCATGATGAGTAAATACTGTTCTGGTGAATCCACAGTTATTTAGGTGTGGAGGAAACAGGCTTGTGTTCATGGAGTGATAAGACAGGGCTAATCATTTTGTACTATTTTAACCAGCTCTGTGCACAGCTGCCTGGGAGCATGTGCACTGTGCACAGGGTTTTAAAATAAACTAAACTGACTCACTAAAAAAATGATCAAACTTGGAGAAACAATGAAGTGGATGGGTGGGTCTGGGCAGGGCTCCAGACTGTTCCCCTGGGGTCAGCTAGGTAAATGTCAGTCATGTTTGTGAAGAGAATTTTGTGTGTAAAAGTCTAAAAACCACAAAACGGCAGCTTGAGTCAAAATGATGTCGTGACCTGTTCAAGGTCGTGCACCGCGCTGTGCCGTTACGCCGTTCTGATGGGGAAATTGAATTAATACGTTACAGAAGGAGAAAATGGGAGTGGTGTTGAGCACAGAAACATCAGCTGCAGTGGAACTACTTGCAGAAATCAGGGCCACAGGCTGGCAAGGCTCCGTGACTGCAGCCTGTGCTGACTGTGCAGAGAGGAATCCCACTGCTGGGTTTTTAGCTGGTGTAGAGCGTTAAGACACCTTGAATTAAGGAGGGCTGAACTTCCTCAAAATAGTAGTTTTCTCAAAAAGAGTCTGGAGATCTTTTAATTTATAATACACATTATTGTTAAAAGACTTCAGGATTTGCATTCTGAAAACTGCTGCAGTCTCTTTGTATCTCCCGTTCCATACGGACCAGTACTGATCTGAGGTGCCAGGAGCAGGATTAGGATAAAGTATGAAATTACTCTGCATCATTCTCTATCAGGAAATGTTTAAAAAATGAAAAATCTGAACGTTCTCTGAGCTAATCTGATGTTATTAGGATGGAAGTTCCGTTATAATTACTGTTTGATAAGCTTCCTGTCACTAAATATAAATTAGATTATTATAGAATATATGTGTGTGTATGTGTAATATGTATGTCGCCTGGCAAGTTGAGAATCTTTCTCAGTATTGATTTTAAACTGTGTTTGGTTCTTTGTGAGTTTTAACGTACTTCCATATCCGAAAGCAAGCACACTCATACCACACCATCTTGTGATTTTACGGCTGCAGCATGGCTGGCTTGTCTGTTTTCTCTAAACTGGTTTTTGTTTATTTTTTAACAGGTAGCTTTGCTGTCTGGGGAGGTCTCTTCTCCATGATTGACTGCAGTATGGTCAGAATGAGAGGGAAAGAAGATCCGTGGAATTCAATCACAAGCGGAGCCCTGACTGGAGCCATATTAGCTGCAAGAAGTAAGAAACTGGGGAGGAGATTACTTGAAAAAACTGTATTTTAAATGTACAGTTCTCATTGTTATAGTGAAGCAACAGTCTGTGACACCCAAATTGGAATTTACTTTCTCAGAGAAATTGAAAGATAATCTGAAACTTTTGTCCTGTGCTTATGGAAGTAATAATTATGTTCTCGGACATTATCGGTGTTCCTTTGTTTCCTTGAGGGGGTGGGTGGGAGCTGCCCTGTAACGATCCTTTTATTGATGATGCTAATGAGGCTTATTGGATGCAAAATTACCGCTTCTGAGTCTGCTTAGAGGAGAGATTATAACTAAAGAAAGAGATCTATAACGTGCAAAGTAATGCACAGAGAGGTAAAAAGTGTTGGTGTGTGCTTTTTATTTTTAGATGGACCTGTTGCCATGGTCGGATCTGCTGCGATGGGAGGAATTCTCCTAGCTTTAATTGAAGGAGCTGGCATTCTGCTGACCAGATTTGCGTCCACACAGTTTCCAAATGGTGAGGAGCCATCGGACCGTGGTATCACAAGGCTGCTAATGTGCCTCTCTTCCAGTCATCACTCCTGCCCCAGAGTAAATCTGCTCTGCTGGTTGCCGGCTTCTTGGGCTACAGAAAGTCAGGGAGGAGCCGCCTCATCAGCTCCTTCCCACTGGGCGACTGGGGGCTGCATGGCTGAAAGCAGGGATGTCCCTGCTCTCCCGTGTCTTCTGCCCTGTCCCCTGCTGCAGCCACACAACCTGTCAGGGGGTGGCAGCAGCATTTTCAGTCAGGGGCGGGTGACACAACGGGCGTGAGGGAATAGCAAGTTGCAGGGAAGAGCGATGGCGCTGGCAGGCTGTGGTCTGTGTGCGAATGTGTGGGCAACCCTGGTTTAAATCAGGTGATCAAGGTCAGCAAGCAGCTACAGGGAAAAGATTCCCAAGGGGGGAGGTGGTGGTGGTTTTTTTCTAAGCTGCTTCAAAAACTAGATCCCCCCCCCTCTTTTTTTTTTTTTTTCTGAGTAAAACACAAACTGAGGTGTCAGTTAGCCGAGTCAGTAGCCATTTGTGTAAATCCTTGCCTGTGCAAAATACCTAATACCTCTATTGCCCCACCTTATTTTGTGAAGAACACAGACAAAACCACTAATGTTGAAAGGATTAGTAACAAGCCACTAATTCCTGAGAGGCTTCCTCTCTCAGGTTTGTGCACTGACATTCTTTGTTCAGTCTAAATTATAACAATTTCTGTTCTTAATACAAAGGCATTTTAAAATTAATCTGCTTTAGAGAAGGGGTATCATCTGTCCGTTACAATTTATTCTCTCTAAAATTGGCGTACAGTAAACCTATTGCTTCCCTCCAGCAGAACGTCAGTAAGAGGAGCCGGGAAGCTGACTCCACAATGATTTGTTCCGTTTCACTGGCTTGCTTTATTGTCAGGCAAGTTACCGTGGGTAAACCTTTACAGAGTGGCTGAGTTCAGCCGAAGGGCAATAAGGCATAGGTTTCCAACCCCTTCAGGTGACTGAAAATGTTTCCCTGTTGCTGCTCTGATTCATTTCCCTGTTAATAAAGGAGATAAAAATACCGTCCTTATTGGACCGAGGCTCTCGTCAACGCATAAAGCTCTTGACCTTCTTCGGATGAAAAAAAAATTGAATGTAAAGTCTTGTTATCGGCTTCATTATTTTTAGAGGGGATTTGTATTAAAAAAGCTGTGAACGTGTTTCATGCTGTTAGTAGGAAGAATCTCTTGTCTTTTGGTGTTTATTAGTTGCCTTTTTTTCTCTTGCTTATTCGCAGGCCCTCAGTTTTCAGAAGACCCCTCCCAGCTGCAGCCCTCTCCATTTGGCGACTACAGACAATACCAGTGATTACCCTCATTCTCCTGGTTCACCCCCTACCTGAGCTGTAACTGAAGATGCTGGAGGGCCGAGAGGCGGTATGTCTTTACACCAGTGGTAGTCTCTTACACAAACCATGCCAGGAGGACCTTCAGCACTTCTCAGTGTAAAGCTGCACAGGAGAACTTTTAGAAGATGACAAATCTATTTATTCATGATAGATTCCATTGCTGTAATGTTAATACGTGTCTGGTAGAATACATGGAGATTTAAGACAAGGACCATGTGGAGTCTTGTCATCCTTTGGACCTGGACTGAAGTGAAAGTCTGTGGAGGCTTCTCTGGGACCGCAGAGAATGCAGCTGGAGTTTAGCCTCTTCCCCATCGGATTTAGGTTGCTACCCGTATTTCAGCTTAAGGAAAAGAGTTCATCTGCGTGCAGTTTTACATGCCCAAAGCGAATGTTATTGGGAGAATGTGCAAGCCAGTGAAAATTACTTCCAGCAATAGATATTTCAGTGCTGTTCTTTGTTTTCTCTGCTACCGCCGCGCAGCCTGAGTTCTTTGGTGAAAGCAGAATCTGCCTCCTGCGGAGCCGCAGGCTGCCGCACGCCTCTGCCTTCCCCTACACCCGCCAGGCTTTCGGCCCCTCTAGCAAGAGGTGGCAGCAAGCTCATTCTTCACGGCTGCTGCTGCTGCTCGCTGTGGCTTTCCCAGAGCTGTGGGGAGGCGTGTGTCGGAGCCCGGCGCGGAAGGCAGGCAGCCCCGCGGGGCGGGAGGTGAAGCACCGCACCTGCCCGCCTGCCGCCAGCGCAGCCGCCGCCTGCTTCACCTTGGCTCCGGCCCTAAGCACAATCAAACCATCCGCTCCATGGTTTTGTTCTTAAACTCCAACTGTGGAGGCATGTTGCCTTTTAAAAAATCATGTCCAGTGAGGTTTTCTGTTGTTAATGCTGGTTAATACTGTTGCTCGCTGGCGGTTCCTGATAGAATGTTCATATTCAAAAAGACTTGAGTAATATTATCTGAGCCACGCCATGGCTTTTCCTCTGCTCAGGAAGGAGCTTGATCTCTGCACTCTGCCAGGAAGCTGTCAGCCCCATGTAGTAGGAGGCGAGGGTGAAAATAACACAGAGGTGGTCACAGTCATTGGTGACAAACGGGGGATTGGGCTTGTACAAGGCGTGCATGTAAGTGCAGGATCCTGACTGCCTCCTGTCACCCTGCAGAAGTGCTGTTTTCCTGCTTCCACCTCCCAGCCTGTCCTAGGACCACTCCAGGGTTGCTGGGGCTTGCCTCTCTGGTACCTTACAGTTTCATATAGTTGCTGCTGGTGTGTAATTTTCAAAACCCTTAAGGACAAAAGCACTGTTTGTGTGAAGGCTCATCTTGGTTTGACGCTTACCTTGGTTCCTCGGGTGTATTTTAAAGAGAATTTTCTTGATTTGTCTCACTCAGCCCATGCTCTCTTCTGTTCTTGGTTGAGGCCCCAGCCATAGGGGAGTAGGTGAGTCTCTGGTCTTTGACAGAGAATAACAGTCAGCTCTCAGCAGCTGGGGAGCCTCCCCTGTATCCAGATCTGTGTGTGAATCACAGTCTGCTCTCTCGATCGGATTAGAGCACTCGGAGTTGTTCACATCTGGGTGCAGCTCAAGGGTTTCGTTCTCCAGCCGGGCTCCTGCACGGCTGAGCTGTCCTCGGGGGGGGACACTCAGCCAGCTCCTCTCCTGGCCCGTGACCCACCAGTGCTCTGGCTGGGAGCAGACTGGCCGGGGTGGGATGCAGGGGTGCGCAGGACCTGGTGGGAGGTCGATCTGCAGGGGTGAACCTGGGGGGCTCCACCCAGGCCCTGCCTGCCCGGTCCCCAATGCCGGGCTGTGCCCAGACAGCCCCAGAAAGGGCCACCCACCACCCACGGGCCACCAGGGACAGGCTGTGGTGGCCCTGCCAGGTGCTCCCCTCTAAGGTAACGGGCTTGGGCTGCCAGAGACGAGCTTTGCTCAGCTCAGCTCTTCCCCCCTAATCCCCCCTGAGCAGCTGTGCTGGGCAGACACTCACATACACACAGAGAAGCTGCTGGTCGGGGGGTGTTGCCCCTCCTTCCCCCCCCCCCCAGCCAGGCTGCAGTATCTTTCCTGAGCAGCTGAGAGCCCTTCACTGCCCAGCAGCGTGGCACCAGCCAGGGAAGGGTTTCCTGCCCTCTCATCGCCGCAATCCCCAAGAGTTTCCTGTGTTTTATTTCGGCTGTTGGGGCTGTTCTGCCTCGCTGCCACGCAACACTGGCAGCCTTTGAGGGGACACGCTCCTGGGGGTGCTCAGAGCCCTCAGCCCAGAAGCAACTCCCACCCCCAAAAAAACGAGACCAACACCACCAGCACGACACTGAACTATTGACCTTTTTATTTCAATCGGCTACAGCAGCTCTACATTCCCCTAAAACACTGTCCTTCCTCGACTACCACAGACAGCGAGGGAGCCGAGTACACTGCGGTGGCAGCAAGTCTTCTTAAAGCTTAGTATTAAATATTAAATATTCTCTCATTTATGTTTACATTACTTTGTCAAGGAAAACAAACAAAAAAAAGACAATTAAAACTTAAGTTACATGAATCTGTGCCTGTGCCCCGGGCAGCAGCACTGGGGGCCGCAGAGCTGCCCCCAGCAAGGCGGCTCTGCTGCCAGGGATATGCAAAAATCTCTGGCCCTGGGCCTGGTAGTGCGTGACTCTGCTCGCTCTGGCGGTGAGCTCGGGAAGGGGGTGCTCGGCTGTGCCGGGAGCGGGGTGCCCCCACCTTCTGCTTTTGGAAATCCACATGCCTGGGAAGGTCGGACAACCCTGGTGCAGCTAAAACACTGTCTGGAGGAGGTGAGGCCGCGGCGCCTCCCCTCAGCCCCAGCCAAGTGCGCGGGGAAGGGGGTGAGGATTTGGTCAACAACTTTGCTAAAGAATTTTTCTGTTTTGTTTTTGTTTTTTTTTTTTTTCTTCCCCTTAAAAAAAAAAAAACCAAACAAACAAAAAACCAAACAACCACCCCAAACAGTTTTGAGTCTTCCTTTGATTTTAGCAAAGACAAGAGTTTAAAAAGCACTTAGGAAGCTTGTACTAAAATCAGGCGCTCTCAGAGGAGAGAGTCGTCTGTGCACCCCCCTTCGAGTCCGTAGCGAAACTCCTGCAGGTTCGACACCCCGTAGAAGTGGACGAAGGCCGCAGCCACCACGAGCACGTGGAAGATCTGATGCGACTGAAACTGCGGGGAAGCAAAAAAAGCCCTTTAGACCAGACCGAAGGGGACAAAGTAACACCGGGAACACCTCCTCCTCTCCTCGCCGCTTCTGCGCCTCCCCAGGACTGTCCCAGCTCCATGTTTTGCCCCTCGGTGCTCCCAGGCAGCGTTTCCCACGCTGTCCTTCAGCCCACCCCGCCTGCTCGCAGCAGCCGTTCGAGGGCGTGCCAGGCCACCCCCTCCTCACCCGGGCTCTCCCCCCTCACCGCCTCGTCCCCACACTCACCCAGATGTCAAACTTGCCCGGGAAGAAGCGCTCGGGTATGCGGGCGGCGTACAGCCCCGCGCCCGTGATGTACATCACGGCCATGAGGAAGAACCAGCCCATCTGCCCGACGGTGGTGGCTTTCACAAACCCTTCGGCGATGGTGAAGTGCATGGTGGGCACCACGCCGCTCAGCCCCAGCCCCAGAAAGACGCCTGCGGCGGAGAGGAGAGATCAGCGGAGGGGGCACTGCTGCTGCCCTCCTCCCGCACGAAGGGGAGCGCCTGGAGGCAGCTTTTCCTCGCTCAGTCCTGGATTATCCAACCCCCTCCCCCGGGCAGTAGTTCTTCACAAAACGAGGGATCCACAGCTCTACGTCCCAGTCAAAACCAGTGCTCATCCCCCGTGCTCAGCTCACCCAGTGTCCTCTGTGCAGCCGCGGGGCTGCGGCAGCTCCTGCTACGGGAACGGCCCTTTCGGAAGGTGCCGGCCCCCCGGGTCAGGCCTCGGCTGCCTCAGCTGCCCCTTCGAGAAGAGGCTGTGCCAGAGCCAAGTGTTCAGTGAAGCTGCATGGAGCTCACAGGGAAGGTCCTAATTAGCAGGGCTGAAATTTTCAGCTCTGGCACCTAACGAGCTCGGCAGAGAGCGAAGGGCGGCGCAGCGAGACCAGCCCGGAGAGGCTGCGGCTTGTACCCGCAGCGGGATCCCGCCGCGAGATCTCGGCTCTCCAGGGGCCGGCGGCGGGAATCGCTGCCAGCGGGTCAGCACCAGCGCTGCCGTGGGGGGAGCAGGGGGGCTGGCAGTTCCCCCCCTGTGCCCTGCCCCACTCCGAGGGGACCCTGTGGGTCAGGCACCCTCCGCCTCGGCCCTGCCTCTCCTCGGGTAGGCAGGACACCGCTGCGAGAGATGTTTTGCTGAGAGATGTTTTGCTGCGGGAGCCCCCGGAGAGGCGAGGGGAGGGCCGAGCTGGAGGCAGCCTCACCCTGCAGCCTCCAGGAAGGCAGGGACGTGCCAGCGTGTGACTGGCAGGGATGAGGGAACCTCTTCCTCCTCTGCCCGAGCTGCAGGTTCACGCTGCCAAACTGCTTCCCGGAGAAGGCGGTTTCACACAGCGCAGCCCCCAGGCCGCCCAGCTGCCACTTACGGGGCTATTTTTAAACGCTGGCTGTCTGCTCCAAACCTCAGGCTTGCCGAGTGCCAGGCGGAGCTCGGGCCCCGCTCAGCAGAGCATCTAAATCCCCAGCAGAGCGAGAGGAGGAAGGAGACTCTCCCTTCTGGGAGCTGCTGCTGTGCAGTGCTCTGCGGGAATGAATTCCGCAGATGCTGCGAGCTTTCCCAAATGGGAAGAGCCATCCCACAAAGATCCCCCCCCTGAGCTGCCTCCCGGGGCTGGGGAGGGAGAATTCCTACCTGCTCTTGTCTGCCTGTGCTTGGGGGTGGCAAACCGGTCCCACTGAGCAACGATGATGGCAGAGATGCCCAAGACACAGACGATGGAGAGGTAGATGAGTCTTGGCTGCGGGGAACAGTAGAACGAATAGTAGAGCCACGGGACAAAGCTCCCCATGATCAGCAGTGCAATTCCTGAATAATCCAACCTGCAGCCGGGGGTGTAATGACAGAGAGTCACAGGTGAGCCCCAAAATCCAGCCTCCTCCTTGCAGGAGTCACCACGGCCAGACAGGCATCCAGCGAGGGGAGAAGGGCTGTGTTCAGGCGTCATCGGCGCGACGTGGGATGGGAGAAAGGGCCTGGGCACGGCTTCTGGGGACGCCAGCAGAGCTGGGCAGGAGGGCAGTGGGAGAGCAGGGGCTGGCTGGACGCGAGAGGGGCCGTGCGCTCCAACCACCGCGACAGGATGAGTCCCTGCACGTACAGATTTGACTATAACCCTCCCCCGCAAAGTGCTTTCGATCTATCGATCCAGGAACTGAAACGCAGCCGCCCGCGTTACCCCCACCGCCGCGGCAAGTGCCCTCCCCGGTACACAAGGACACTCCTGCCGAGGGCACGGCGGGGCAGTTTGTTCTGCAGACACGATCCCACAGGCTCTCTGGGGTTTGTGCAAAGGGGATTGGCAGGATTTCCCAAGTAAACGCCTTTGACAGGCTTGCGTGAGCAAGATCTTATATCTGAAAGCCTTGCTGCTGCTCTGCCTGTGCCACGGAGGCTGATGTGAGCTCGACTGTAAGAGCAGCCTGCGCACCGACCTCGGGGAGAGGCGCTGGCCACTGCCCAGCCTTTCCACTTTGCCGGGAATCCTGTATGTTTTGTTTCTTTCCATTTGGTTTCAGTCCAAACTGGATCCGAACCAGAGTTTTTTGAAAGCATCCAGTAAACTGGAAACTGCTGTGTCCCGCTGGCTGCCCAGTGAGACAGAGACCCCTCCTCACTTCACTGCTCCGAGGGGCACAGAGGCTGCTCCCTCGGGAGCGGCAGGTTCCCAGGGTCCCCAGCTCCCTCTCATCCACCCGATGGCATCGGAGCTCAGGCACAGGGCAGAGCCCTCCAGGACCCAGCTGTGGTTCCCTCTCGGCTCTGCGCTGGATTCAGTGAATGCTCCCCCTTCCCCCAAGGATAAAACATTTGGGAACACGGCACTTTCCAAGAGGAAGTGCTGTGAGAACTCAAAGCCTCCTGTGAGACCACACAACCGCGCTTGTGCTGACTCACTTCGAAAAAGTCCGCGAGACCTTCTCTGAGTGACAGTAGACAGTGTGGAAAAGCCAGGAGAAGCTGAGGCACAGCACCGCTCCCAGGAAGAACATCCCAAACACCACCTTCTCCTGGAGAGGAGCCATGAAATACATGTTGGGCCGCAGCATGGTCAGGATCCCCAAGCAGAGGAACAAAACAAAACCTGCAGGGAACACACCAAATGGGCAGTCAAGCAGAGGGAGAGGGAACAAATTCAGCAAGGGGCCAGGAGAAACACAGCGCTGGCTCTGCTCTGCAAGGCAGGTCCTGGATGGATCCTGCTCACAGTGCACCCAGAGGTGCTCGCAGGCCCTTAGCCCAGGCTGTCAACGCAAACGAGCGGAGCCGGGGACAAGGGCACGGTCAGTCCCGAGGTGAAGAGCCCCTGCCCCTCCCTGGGTTTCAGAGGAACATGCTTTGAGGCTTTCCTGGTCTGCCCAGGACATGTTTTTCCCTCCAACTCTTGCAGGGTGTTGGCAAACCCACAAACGGCGGCTGAGCCCAGCGCCGGGGCCTGAGGAAGCACCCTGGTCTCTCTCCAGCCAAGGAGCTCCAGGAGCTCTCGGCACCTCATGACCAGCACGGGATCCCCAAAGGGAGGCCCCAGGCACGGCGAGGACCCCACACCAAGCAAGTCCTGACTGTAAAAGGCCACCCTGAGCATGGGGGCCAAGGCCACCGCTAGCCCCAGGGCCACCAAAGCTCCCCGGTCACCTAGCAAGTGAGTCCAGATGTTGCCTGTCTCGGTGTGTATCCGGAAGATGCTCTTGAAGCAGGCTCGGAAGGATGGCATGGGGGGCCTGTGTCCATGCAGGAGGTAATCGTTGTCCTTCAGCCAGTCGGGCAGCACATCGTAGGGGATCACGCGCCAGCGCCCTTCCCACACCTGCAACACGCCGAGCTGTGCTGGTGGCCCCCAGAGCACCGAGCCAGCCCAAAGGCTCGTGTTTACTCACCCCAGGAGCCTAAAACCACACAGGGAACAAGCCCAGCCAGGGCTGACAAGGCCCTGTAAGGCTCCTCAGGGAGAGGAACTTCAGCTTTTGCAACATCAGCACCCTGCAGGACCCCATAAACCACCCACATCCTGCTGAAAGCTTCCCACATGCCCCCCCCCAGGGAGTCTGAGGCGATTTGCACCCTCAGGTTTAACCCCTCCGCACCCAAAGCGACTGTTCTCTGCAGGGGGGATCTCGGGGAAGAGGGAGCCCTGGCTGGCATCTGAACTGGGCTGGCCCTCACCGCTTATGGAATCGCAGTGACTGCAAGAACAGGCACCGGGTGAAACCAGCAGCGGTGCTCGGTGCTGCTGGTCCCCAGTAGAGGACTGGAGCTGCTCCCCAGGCCGCTGCCATCCCCTTCCCGCACCGCTCCTGGGGTCGGAGCCGGAGCAGACTGCAGGCAGAGCAGCCCAGAGCCCCAGGAGCTTCCCCACCCCGAGCCACGGGCATCCAGGCCTCATTAATACTCCAAAATCAGGTTTGGGGGTCGCTACGTGCTCCCGTACCTTATACACAAACTCTTCCATCTTCTCCATGGCGTGATGAGCCTGCAGAGGCAGAGTCAGCACACGGACCACCTCCTCCTCTTCCTCACGGGCTGCTGGGCATGGCGGATCTTCTGCCTAGAAGGAGAAACACCGGGAGGAAATCATTCTTGCTCACGGGAGGAAGAACAGCGTGCGGGGAGCAGCGAGTCCCTTCTGAGAGCACCTGGGGCTTCATCCCTCCCCGAGGGGACAGGCAGGACCTGCCAGTCGCCACCGCTTACGCAACACGTCACCGTCTCACCCACCTCGGGCAGACTAATCCCAGCTTTATCCTTGTCGAACGGTGGGATTACTGGGGAGGGGGCGGATTTTTCATCCCTAGACCCAAGGCTGGAACAGCCACTTGGCCCAGCCAGGAAACCCTCCTGCTCCCTCCCAGCTCCACTCCCTCCCACCTCTTTTGATTTAGTGGTTTTGGGAAGGTGATTTCCAGCCCTAAGGGCCAGCTGGGTGACTGAGACCCCCCCCACTCCGCTGCCAGCAGCGGCGCAGGCACGCCCGGCCAGGGCGAGGGCTGTCACAGACCCACACCGGGAGGAGTTTTTGGGCCGGCTCAGAGCGCAGCCCAGCTGGACCGCCGGCGTTTGAGCAACGGAAACAGCTCGCAGGCTCAGGAAGACCGAGGACTAAGACTCGGAGCTCCGCACGAACGCACCCGGCCGGCCCGCCGCCCTTCAAGCCGCTAATGGGATAACGGGCGAATTCCCGGGTTAATCCGCAGGGACGGAGCGGGGCGGCTGAGCAAGGAGGAGCGGAGCCGCTCGGGGGGTGAAGAAGGGGCTTACGCTGGCCGAGCCGGCGGCTCCCCGGTCGCCCTTCTCCTCCAGGAGCGGCCCCAGCTCGGCCAGCTCCAGGTGGGCTCTGTCCCGGCCCGCGGCGGCCAGCCCGGTGCCCTGCCCGGCGGCGGAGGCTTTGCGGGACGCCATGGCGGGCGGCGGGGTCGGTTGCTGGTGGCCGCGGGCAGCCGGCGACGGGTCCCTCCGCGTCCTTGTGCCGCCGCGCTGGGGAGGGAGGAAGAAGAGAGTCACCGGGAACCGACGGCCGCGCACAGCCGCCCCCCTCACCCCACGCCCCGGGGCACCGGCGGGGGCAGCGCTCGGACCCCCCCTCCCCCCCCCGGCCCGGTTCGGCCCGCACTCACCGGCCGCTACATCCCGCGCAGGGCGGCGGCGGCGGCACCGGAAGCGACGCTGAGGGAACGGGCCGCTTCCGGTCGGCAGGCCCCGCCCCGCGCGGCGACGAAACCCCACCCCGCCACGGCCCGGTGCGGCGGCGGGGGGGGGGAGGGGCCTGTGCGCGGGTCTCGCTTTCCCGTTGGCCGAAGCCGCTGTCTGTCTGGCTCTCCCCCCGCCCCGCCGGCTGCCGACCGCTGCGATTGGGTGGATCACCCACCTGACGTGCCGGCGGTGCGGGGTAGGGGGGGGGCGCTCCAGCCGCGCGGCGCGTCTCTCACTGGCCGTGCGCTCGACTGCCCCCTAGGGGCGGGGCGGGGCGGGGCGGGGCGGGGCGGGGCGCCGCGCCGGCAGCGCCACCTCCGGGAGTCCCGTGATGGCGGCGGGCGCGGCCGGGCCGGTGGGTTCCGCACCCCCCGGCGGGTTCCCCAGCGCTCCCAGTGACACCGCAGCCCCGAGAGGCCGGACCCACGCATCCGTCCGTCCCTGTCCGTCTGTCCCCTACGGCCGCCAGCCGCCACCCTGCCCGCACGCAGCTCCCCGCGGAAGGCCGTCGAGGGTTTCCCCAGCTGCTGGCAGCCCCGGGGAAGCGAATGTCCACACCAATAATTGCAACATCAGCACCCTGCAGGACCCCATAAACCACCCACATCCTGCTGAAAGCTTCCCACATCCCCCCCCCAGGGAGTCCGAGGCGATTTGTACCCTCAGGTTTAACCCCTCCGCACCCAAAGCGACTGTTCTCTGCAGGGGGGATCTCGGGGAAGAGGGAGCCCTGGCTGGCATCTGAACTGGGCTGGCCCTCACCGCTTATGGAATCGCAGTGACTGCAAGAACAGGCACCGGGTGAAACCAGCAGCGGTGCAGGTCACCAATAATTGATGCCCGAGGTCGCCCTCGGCCTGTCGCGGCTGGCTCGCCCAGAGGTTTAATTACCAACGCTAATGACAGCCGGGGCTGGAGACTCCCCTCCGCCCCCCACCGCCGCCCGGCACAATGGCGGATCCTGTTCCCCATCAATCATTCATGTCCCTGCTGCTGGAAGGGGTTTCTCGGGAAGCGGGGAGGGGAGGCTGGGGTGGATTTTCCAACCTTCCCAGTGTTAAACTGGTGCTGCCGGTGCTGGGGCAGGTCAGAGGCGCCTGGGTCCCCCACTTTCCCTGCAGGGTGAGTGGTGGTGGGGTTTGGAGGGGACGTGGGGCTTTTTGGGGGGGTGCAGCGGGAGGTGGCGTGGGGTGGGAGATGCTCTTGGGATTTTGGGGGGCTGCGTGCTGGCTGGGGGCAGCCTCATGTCCCCATCGGGGCCAGGCGGGTCCAGGGCTCTGCTCTCGCCTCTGCAGGGACAAACGCTGCCGGATCCCCCCTGCCGGTGTCCCCATGGGTGTCTTGAGCTGCATGAAGTACCTGATGTTCGTCTTCAACGTGCTGGTGTTTGTGAGTCCGCCTGGGCACGGTGGGGCAGGGGGGACCCATCCCTGGGGCTGGGATCCAGCCAGCTCCGGGCGTGGGTGACACCAGTCCAAGGGAGGGGACCCCAGCAGAGGTTAGAGTCCCCATGGGGTCCCGGGGATGGTCCCTGCGCCCCATAACCGCAGCGTGTCCCACAGGCTGGCGGGACGTGCCTGGTGGGTGTGGGGGTCTGGGTGGTCGTGGACCCAGCTGGTTTCCAGGACATCGTGGCTGCCAAGCCTGTGCTGAGCGTGGGTGGCTACCTGCTGCTGGCTGTGGGCATCGTCCTCTCGCTGCTGGGCTTCCTGGGGTGCTGCGGGGCCCTGCGCCGGAGCCGGCCGCTGCTGCTGGCGGTGAGTGCAGGGAGATGGGGGGGGGGAAGGCAGCTGTGGGGTGCGGGGAGATGGGTGGGCGGGGGGCTGCGGGGTGCAGGGAGCAGGCGGGATGAGGGGAGGCGGGAGTCGGAGGGTGTTGGGGGGATGTGAGGTGGCCCCAGAAGCCCGGTGTTCCCCATCCTGGTCCTGTCAGCTTTCAACACCTCCCCAAAACCAGCCCCTGCCTTCTGACTCTTTCAGTGTAGAGCCCAGAGGATTTTATAAAGCCACCGAGCAGGGTCACTTTTCTCTGAAGCCACTGGCTTGTCCCACAGGGCATTTCTGATCTCCCCCCCCTCGCTGATGGCAAGGGCTAGAAACGCCTTTCTGAGCACCAACGCCCCAATTTCTTTGACATCCCTAGATCCTGGCAGCTGGTGCTTGTTTTTAACCCTCCACCTTGCAGCCACGCTGCTTGGAGATGTGGCATCTGTCCCCTGAAGCTGCACACTCATCCCCTGTGTCCCCCTGCTCTCAGGGGCACAGGACATGGTCAGGGCTGGCTGCAGGGAAGGGGAGGAATAGCCGGAGTGAGCTGCCCGCAGGGTCGGGCTGGTCTCTGATTCCTTCATCCCGCTGCCTTCCAGTTCTTCATCCTCGTGAGCCTTGTCTTCGTCACGCAGCTCGTTGGGGCTGTTCTCTTCCTGGTGCACTGGAAAGAGGTACCGTTCCCACGCCCTGACGCTGTGCCTGGCGTGGCCAGCCCCTTTTCTCCCCCAGTCGTGCCATGGGTCATGGCCCTAAGTCCCCCCAGGGGACAGGGACTTCTGTGGGAACGTCCTTTCTCACCCTCACCTTCATCACCAGCACCCTGATGCAAGCCTGAAACTGGGTGTCCCATGGGTGGGTCCCCACATTCCCTCGAAGAGAGCTGATGCCCTGGCCAGTGTGGCACTGGGAAGGGTGGGTTAGGGTGGGTGCGCAGCCCCCACAGCCCCATCCCTGGTACGGGGCTCCCAGATGGCACCGATCCCGCAGATCCGGCCGGAGCTCTTCCTGTCCGAGCTGCGGAGGAGCTACCACGGGGACGAGGGTGCCGAGGTCTTCTCCACCGCCTGGAACACCCTCATGGTCACGGTGAGCTGCCAGGAGGCTCCTGGTGGGCTGTGGGGGAGTGCGGAGCACCCGCAGGATCCGCCGAGGGTGACCCCGAACGCAGGCGAGGGGCTCAGGAACCCCAGACAGGCACCGAGCTGCACGCTGGGCTACTCCCCCTCCCTCCGTCACCTTCCCAGGTGACATCCCCCCCCCCCCACACATTTTGACAGCACGTTGATGGCATTTCCCTTCCGTTTCAGTTCTCGTGTTGCGGCGTTTTAGGACCCGAAGACTTTGGGAACGGTTCCCGCTTCCAGGAGCTGCACCCGGGGACGCCCTGGCCGCAGGCGTGCTGCGCCCGGGACGGGCTCCTGCAGGTGGGCGAGCTGCTGGGCTGGGAGCAGTGCCGGGAGAGGAGCCCCGGCTACATCAACGAGCAGGTAGGACGTGACCCTGTCCCGTCCCCAGGCACGGAGCCGTGGGGCAGCGGCACCTCCTGCCCCTGAGCATCGGGGACAGGAGCCAGGACCCTGCCTGCCCACGGTTCTGCAGCCCAGGGACTCCCCGAGTCCCCCCAGGGTTCCCCCCACCCTGATCTCACCCTCTGAGCTCCCTGAAGCCGTGGGGAGCGTGAGGGAGCCCCTCCATCACCTCCCCCCCTCTTCAGGGCTGCTTCTCCACCTTCGGCAGGACCTTGCAGAATTACATCTCTGTCCCTGGGACTTGCAGCTTGGCCGTGCTGGGCATCGAGGTAGTGAGCTGGAGGGGAGGGGGGCGGGCAGGGGGTCACCTCACACGGGCTCTCTTTTTGCCAGGAGGGAGCTCTGTGGGCGAGGGGACTACAAACGGGCTCAGGCTGGACCCCCCCCAAACCTTTTGCTGTCACGATCACACCCAGAAAGCGGGTACACGAACAGCGGGTCTGTCCCGGGGTATAAAGCCAACCTCCTGCTGCAGATGGGTCAGGCTGAAGGGTGACAGGGTGGGGTTATTTTGCTCCCCCAGGGCCTGGAGGGGAGGTGTCTTGCTCTCCTCAGACCCTGGGAAGCTGCCAGGGGCCTCCCCAAGGGGTGTGGGACAGCAATGGCCACTGCCTCGTTACACCCGGAGCAGAGCACAGCGATCCCTCGGGCTCCGGGGTGTCGGCAAGCGGCCGCAGCAAGGTGCGAGCGTGGCCCCACAGCAGGGGGGTAACCTGCGCCCCCCAACTCCTGCCATTTCAGATCTTCGCCATGTTCTTTGCCTTTTGCCTTTATTACAACTTCGACTGAGCGGGACAAAGCACAGCAGGGACAAGCTGAGGGCTTTGGAAACGGCGGCAGGCAAGGACACGTCACTTCCTTGCGGACCAGAGCAGAGCTCTGTAGGTCAGCACTCCGATTCCTTCCCCAGGCGGGCAGGAGATTTGCTGAGCCCCATCTCTGCTCCTGCAGGCACAGAAGGATGGGCCTGGCTCACTTTTCTGGGAGCAGGGACAGGGCACAGGTTAAATTCCCTGCAGAGCAGAGGGCTGAGCATCAAACTTGTTCCTACTGCAATCTGCCGTCGGTCTTGACAAAAATCAGACAGCCCTGGTGACAGCGAGGCCTGCGCCCGTGCACCTTCTGATCTGTTGCACCACCAAAAATTGTCCTTTCCCCTAATCCTCACACAGGCTTCTTGTCCTGCACGTCACCACCCCGACACCCAGCTCCCTACCCCATCCCTCCCAGCTCCTGGAGACGCAGCCCAGGTCGTGTTAAATGGGCTGAGCTGAGCTGGAATCTCACAGGCTGCTCTAGAGAGCCGGGGATTTAAGTCTTAAGAGGCTTAAGTTTTAATGACATGTCCTTCAGTAGCCTTGACGTTACAAGGAAAATGAAGCCTGGAGTAGGGAAGGATTTTCGCAAGCTAATTCTTAACATGGCTGGCGCTCAGCTTCTGCTCTCAGTTTGTTCCAAGGCAGGGACAGTAAAATAGAAACTGAAATACTTGGTGCTGTTCCCACTTCTTTGAGAGAAAGCTGGAAATTGGAAGCTGAACCGGTACTTCCAATTTTCCTTTTCCTCAGAATATTCCAAAAAGCTCATGCAACAAACGAGAAAAAATATTTGTAAATGAAAGCTTTCTATTTTATGTAATAAAACTTTTCACAAAAAACAACCCTAGGAAATAGAAGAACAAAGCCTGCTGCAGCTACATATTGGTTAAAATATTGAGGTATACCTGTGTAAAGAGAAAAGGACAGGGAAAGCAAAGGTGACAGTCCCAACAAGAATTAAAAAAACACTTAGGAATCCAGGCGAGATTTCTTCTCCTTCATGCTGATATTAGTCCCTTTCCGTTTCTGCACAGTAGAGTCATTGGTGGTACTTGTTTCGCTTTGGTTTATTCTCTCTTCCAAAGGCTTGGAAGCCTGTAAGAACACAAGAATTAAAAGTAACAGCTGTGAATAATTTAGTTTTACAGCCCTTAGCACCGCTGTGCCCTCTCAGCTCTGTGTGTGTACACCTTGGAACGCCCGGCACCCCCCAAATATCAGAACGGACTGTGCTGCCAGCTTTCATGCAGTGACCCTCAGTTATCCTGCTCCCACTGCTGGAAATTTTAGGAAGGGTGAATGACAGGAGAGCAGGATTACAGCTGAGCCTAGAAGGGACACGTACGTGTATGAGCCAGGTCACTCTGGTCACCCAGGTAAAGGAGAAAGCCTGATTTTTGGGAACAGGTTTTGATCTGTTTAAGTGGAATTTATTTTTATGCAGCTCCTCTGAGAGAAGTCAGGGTGCAGAACGGAGGCAGGAAAAGGGGAAGGGTGATGGCAGGAAGGCTGCGCTCTGCTGTGGACTAGGAAGACTGGTCAGAGAACGGGTGAGCAGGAGGAGAACAGGCACAGCAGAACACGGAGTCTGGTCGGAACAGAGCCGAGAAAGAAACAGGGCTGCAGGATCCCCAGGGAAGGGTTTTATCAGGCTTCAGCCTTACTTGTCCTTCCTTCTTGAGAAGCACTGCAATTATTTGTAAATGAACACATTTATTTGGAAGAAGGGACTCTAATGATCTTAAAAAAAGTAAAGAGAGGCATAATGAAATTAGCTACACACCCAAAGCACAGAAGGGGAAGGAAGAATGAATGCTGCCACATACAGCTGCACAAAGTAACTGTGAAAGGCAAACCGAGACAAGACAAAAGTTCACAAAAAGACGAAGCTATGCTCGGCTGAGAAAGCAGAGTGTGTTTCTTACCCTCTTCTGCTGGCTTGCGTATTTCTCAGTCCACTCTTTGGCATTTAGCAAGAACAGTTGCTTGTTGTACTTGTACTCTGATGACTAAATGTAACGAGCAAGACAAAGACAGATCTGATTTAATACAAACATCCCACCAAGAAGCTGGGACTAAGGTCCAGCTTTAGGACTCCTAGAACCAGACCAAAACCACTACAAGCATGCAGCATGAGACTTAAATTCATTTTGCTTGCTTTAGTTTAGCTGTTTTAGCAGGCTTGAACAGGAGACCTTAACATCTCTTTTCCACTGCTGGCATAAACCCTGCACTGCATGCCCCAGCTGCTTCAGGGAAACACAGCCATGCCCCCAGGCCTGATCCAGATTAAGCTACACCTCGAGGTAATGTGCTACTGTGTTAAACTAGAGCACGTGAAGTGGAAGCACAGCCTAAATCTAACACACCGTTCCTTCCCAGTCTGTGCCACAAGAGAGGAAGAGGAGCTCACGTACTATGTCTGCCATGAGAGGGTCATCGGGGTTGGGCTCTGCCATCAGCAGCTGGACGGAGGTCAGCAGCGTGGAGATGTTCAGGGAAGGTCTCCACGCACCCTTCGAGGAAACAGGGCGAGAGAAGCAGTTAAGCAGAAGGAAACTGCCCACAGGCTGCCTAGGGAAACCTCAGGGCTTCGAGCATTTAAACCCAACCTGCCCCACAAGCTGCCTCAGGGCTGACGGCATTGAATCCCCACCCCAGAGAACATCAGATCTCCTCTCAACACTCAGGCTGCAACCTCTCTGAGGAAGCCTGCCGGACACTGCAGGCTGTATCCCACACGGCTCTGTGGGGTCGGCACTAGGGGAGCCCATTTTCAGAGAGCCACCTAATGTCTTTTGTCTCCAATCCTTAAAACCTTGGAAACTTATATAGAAGAACAAAGAAGGTCATGTTCTAGTCTCTAAACAAAGGAGATGCTGCTCAAAAAAACTACTCCAGTACTCCTGTGTAAATAAGTCAGTAGCAAACAGACATTCAATACAGCTTTTACAAGAAAAAGATAAGGAGTTCATTATCCTCTTCAGGCTCACTTACCCATGCCCAAGTAGCGCTACCCTACCTTTGGTGGTAATTTAAGAACATCCAGGCAAATCCTTCCAGCAGAATCAATGTTAGGATGATAGATAGGGGTCAGAAAGCGAATCTTGGGGGGCTCAAACGGGTACCTGTAAGGGATAAGTGTTAAGAAACAAAAAATTATTTTTATATTTGTACACCAGTTGCTTCATTACCCAAGCAATGCCATTGCTGCCTCCTCCTGGGCATTTACTAAGTGACAGCCTTCCCCACGAATTTTTGGAGGAGTCAGCGCTCTGCCTTTGATGCTTTCAGCCGTGTCTGGCTAGCACTTTCCTGGGTAGCTTTCCACAAAGCAGCAAACGCGATAGGAAGCTTTCTACTCATGAACAAGCTCCTTTCCAGAGAGCTTTGAGACAATATGATAAGGTAGAGATCTTGTCATAGTGCTTTTAGGTTATTAATCACACATCTTGGGATACCCAATGTGAAATAAGTGTATCAGCCAATGGAAATAATAATTACATTCCATAAATGAAGGGTCTCACCTAATCAACCACATTCTTCATTGGGAGGCTGAAGACCAAAATAGTAGCACTTGTATCAGATATCTTACATCAGTTATATTTGAAGGAAGCACTACACCAGCTACTTAACTAGATACTGTTTCCCATTTACCTTTCAGGAACGACTATTTCCAAGTCGAATATTCCTTTCTCATATGGTGTGTCTGCACCTCCTAAAATTTCTTTAAAAACAAGATTAAAACATAGCATTACATTCAAAATTATTTGATTTTGTCCAGTATCCACATAGCTCCCACAGTTAGAGAACTCTAACACTGCTCAGATCCAGGAATAGAAAAAATGTCATCTGAGACTATTTCCACTCCATGGAATCAAAACCATAGGCTGAGCCATAGGCCAAGCTATGTTTAAAGAAAAACAAGAAAAAAAAGCCCCAAGTGTTTTCCTAAAATTTCACGCTTCCATGCAACTTATAAAGTACACACCATCCAGCAAATCCAGACCTAGCAAAAAACTCTAGTGCAGCCCTTACTTATAGAAAAGTCCCAGCAGAGAAGTACGTACGTGCTCGCAGGTCATCTAGCTGTGTTCCATTTTGCCAGCAGGTGATGCCTGGAGGTGGCTCTGTTGTCAAGAGGGAAAGCTCCCTTTTCAGTCGTGATGCTCTTTGCATTGTGCTGAAACTCAGAGACTGGATTTTATTGCTAGCAAAGTTAGCTTTTCAAAAATAGCACTTAATATTGAGACTTTTCCTTGGCTAAGGACAATTATCCAGGTTTCAAGTTATTATCCTGATGTGAGAACAGGAGTCTCAGGACCTTGTTCCTGGATCTGCTCTCACATCCAGCTGAAGGGGGAAAATCAAATCATCCTCCCCTTTATAACCAGTCTTAGTCCTCAGTCCCCAGCTGACCCTAATAAACCCTCCCAGTCCACGACTGGGCTCCACACCCCTAACAGGACCGTAACACCTGCCCTGGGACAACTCTTGTCCCTTCAGGGTGAAATACAGTCCCTTCACAAACAGGGGTACCCACTGCCCTGCTGGGTCCATCTACCCCAGAGGTGCCTCAGACTGGGATGTCTCCTCCATCCGCCCCAGCAGACAGGGACCCCCTTCCCACCCCAAAGGCATCCTGCCCCCCCCTTCCTGTAGGTCAGAAACCCCCAAAGCTGCCCGAGGGTTGGGGATGCTCCCAACTGCAGGAATATGCCTGGCACCCCTTAAGGCAGGGACCTTCCCCCCCAGTGCTCTACCCTCCCCTGCCGCACAGGGGACCCCTTCCCAAGCTTACACCTCACCTCCCACAGAGCAGGATATCCCGAGGGGGCTGCGGGGACCTGGCTCGCACCCTAAACCTGCCCACTCACCCCTGAGGAGGGGGAACCCCCCCAAGGCCTTACCATCCCCCCCGCCCCAGGCACAATTAACACCACCCCACCCCCGCCAGGAGCCACCTACCTCCTCCTCAGCCCAGAGGCAACCCCCCCACCCGACAACCTCCGTGCAGGAGCTTCACCCGCCTCCCTCAGCCTAATTAATCCCCTCATACAGGACCCCTTCTCCCTCAGCCTAATTAATCCCCTCATACAGGACCCCTTCTCCCTCAGCCTAATTAATCCCCTCACATTGATAAGGGCTGCCCGCCACGGGGGCCTACCTGCCCCCTCACAGGGATGGGAATAGCCGTCCCTGGCCTGAGCCTCGCAGAATCCCGCCGGGAACAGCCCCTCCGGCCTAATTACCCCCGGGGCTTAATTACCCCGCCGGGAGCCGCCCCCACCTTCACGCACCGGCAGCGCGCGGCGGAGGCGGGACTTCCCCCCGCTCCTGGCGCTGAGCACCGAGGGGAGGTGCCTCGCGGGGAGCCCCGCCCCACGGCCCGCCACGCCAGCGCTGATTGGGTACCGCCCAGCCCCGCCTCCTCGGCGGCGGCAGTTCGAATTCGAAGCGGAGGGGCGCTGCCATTGGGCGGCAGAACAAGCCCGCCCCTTCCCTAAAAACCCCGCTGCATGGGCGTGGCTTACGCAGTAGGGGTGAGCCGTGGGCGCTGACGGGACGGTCGGGGAGCGGAGCGGAGCTGAGGGGGGACCCGAGGCCGTCCCCATGGGACACTCCCGGCCCCAAACGGCGTTAAACCTCCGCGGGCAGCGGGCGGGGCCGCGGTGGGGACGGCCCATGTCACCCGCTGAGGGGCCCTCGCGTAACCGCGGCAGCGCGGCCTAACCCCTCCCGCCCCGGCTGGCGCTATGTAACGGGGCACAGCGGGGCGAGGAACCGGGCGGCGGGCCCGCTACGCCTAAAGGCCGCGGGGAAGGAGGTGGGGGCAGGCCGTGGGGCTCCCGTCCTCGTCCCTTCCCCGCCCGTGTGAGGGCTCTGTCCCGTCCCCCTGCACGGACACGGGCCCCCGAGCCACTGTGGGGGAAGAGCCGGCCAAACCCCTGCACCGGTATGATTTTGAGACTCCTCCTGGTGCGACTTAAAATGCCATTTTATTCTCTATTGTTATAAATTGAGACTACAATGGGTCGTAATCCAATTAAAATTTTATTAATTATAGCAAGTAGAATATGAGCAAAAACAGCGCTGGACGACAGGGGAGTCTGCGCTCTGCCAACTGCCGTACTGAGTAGAACAGACTGTCCCTTTTTATACATTTTGTCTCCCGTTCATGGAGTGGTGGAGATGCTATGTTCCAACTGTTGCTGGGGTCTAGAGTGGTGGAGATACTCTGCGCATGTGCCAACTGTTCTAGGGGGTCGTTTTCTGCCTCCTGGTGGTCGATGATATCCTTATGTGGAGTTGTTTTTCTTTCTTCTGTTATCCAACCTTTAAGTCTTAATAAACAATATACTTAGCTCATAGTTTCTTACAATCCCCCCTTTTTCTTTTTATCCTACTATTGTTTATTAAACGCTACTTTCTTTCTTAGCACTGCGAGCAAGCCTTCTTCCACAATTCCAACATTTATCACAACATTCACAAGGTAATATCTCACAATTACAATCATAGTTCTTACGTGGTATAACGCATTCACAACAATCTTCATCATCTATGTCTTCATTAATAGATACACTTTTATATTTTACCTCAGACCTTAAAATAAGTAATTTAGCTATGTCGAACCGTTCTCTAATAAAGTGTAAAATATAGCGTATTATACAAGGTCCAAATACAAGTCCCAGAATCAATATAATAAGCGGTCCTGCTAAAGTAGATAACAAAGTGGTTAGCCAAGGTGAAACATTAAACCAGTTTTCATACCACGATCTGCCCGTCTCACAATCTTTTTACGTTGATCTAACCTTTTCCGGAGTTCAGACATGGTGTCCTGGCCAATTACAATAACTTCTACCAGGGTTATTTGCTGGACATATATAAAATGCCTTGCATTGGGCTTGAAGCTTTGCTTGTTCTTGGGTAAAAACAAGGGAGTCCTGTTCTATAGGTATCAGGGAATATAGATCCACGGAGAAATTCCACTTCCCTGGACTGTTCTGAGTTTGAATTAATTTTGACTCTGGTAAATTATATAATTTCCAAGCCATAGGTTCATGATGATTTCCTCCTTTTGCCTGGGCTGTTATCAGTAACAAAACTAACGGTATGCCAGGAAAAAGGGTGTCTGTCAATTTTGCCAATTTAAGTATATTTTTACCAGTCCTGGGGAAGTTAGACCATTGCTGCTTTTGCGTCCCATTGTTCTGATCCTTTTCCCCACGGTTTGTTCCTCCTCTGCCTCGCCCGTCGACTCGGTTGCTTCGAGCCACGGGGTGTACCATCTTCTCGGCAGCAAGGGAATTCTTCAGGAGAACAGCTGTTTCGGGCTTTCTGCCTGTTTATATAGGCTTCCCACTTTGCAGCTTTAACTAATGGGACAAAGCAAGACACAGTTAGTACTTCCCTTCTGCATTTTATAGCCAAGATTTCAGCTACAAAGAGGACCGGTTCGTCAGATTGGTACCGATAATATTGAGGGTTTATTTCTTTGGCAAAACTTTCCCACCACTCATGGGATTCCCCAAATAATTTCTTGTCTAATTTCTCACATTATGTCCACCATTTATCCTGGTATGCCTTGCATCTAAAACAAGCAAATGGGTAACAGTTACAGTTTAAATGATTACACCTAACTCGTATATTTAAAATGCATACATTACTTATATCAGTATATTTTCTATATTTTAACAATTTTCTGTACCCCACTTTGTGCATTTCCATATATAATAAATGAACAAAGAAATTATTATTGCAAGTAAAAACAGCAATATACACTTTATACCAAGAGGCAATGCGGCAAAATGCTCAAACAAAGTCTCTATCATTATCTCTTCAGGGTTATCTTGGTATCACCTGGAGTACTAATTACTTTCCATTGAGGTTTCGTCACGGGGCCTTTAATGCGACTGGCATGAGTCCATCCACGCTCAGCAGTCCGGACAGCTGTTTCTGTTGTTAGTAAAACAAGATAAGGTCCCTCCCAATTGGGTTTTAGGGTTTCTTCCTTCCATACTTTAACCAAAATCCAATCCCCAGGTTTAACATTGTGAATTTTTAAGTCCAACGGGGGTCGTTGCACAATCAGTCCGTGTTCCCAAAGCTTATTACGATGTTCTGCTAATTGTGAAACATATTCATTAATCACATGGTCTCGAATTAAAACATTTGTTTGTGGATTTTCAATTCTATAGGACATTCCATACACCATTTCAAATGCTGATATTCCCACATCCGCTCGGGGTCTGGTTCTGAGAATTAATAGTGCCATGGGTATGCACTTAATCCATGACAATTTGGTTTCTATCATTAATTTAGTCAGAATAGTTTTGATTTCTCCATTCATCCTTTCAACTTTTCCCGAACTTTGTGGATGCCATGGTGTATGGTATTCCCACTTAATACCCAAGCTTTCGGTTAGATCTCTAACAATTTTTGACACAAAGTGTGTTCCTCTGTCCGAGTTGATTATTTCAGGCACTCCATATCGAGGTATAATGTGTTCAAGTAACACTTTAGTAACTTGGTTAGCAGTTACCCTGGAGGTAGGAAAAGCCTCAACATAATGTGTTAAATGATCCACCATTACTAATAAATATTTGTAACGCCCTACCCTAGGTAGTTCAGTAAAATCCACTTGTATGTGTGAGAAAGGTCTGTATGCTGGGGAACGTCCTCCAAGAGGTTTTTGTCTCATATTGTTTCGATTAACCTTTTGACAGGTCTCGCAGGCTGCCGTGACTGTCTTTGCTATGTTATATATGCCTATACAGGCAAACTGTTGATTGAAATGATCAACTAATGCCTGGGTTCCCCAGTGTGTTTTGCTGTGTATTTTTGAAAATATTTCGAGTGCTATGCCTTTTCGCAAGACTTCCCTCCCATCTGGCAATATGTATTTACCCTCTATTCTGCCAGTCTTCTAACTTTTCAATCTTCTTTCTGATATCCTCCCACGATTTTGCCACAAACTGAGTTTTGAGGAGCGCTTGCCCTAAAGGGTCGTCTGGATTTACCCCGGAGTACAGCTGAAGGTCCTTCCTCAGTCGTTCCAGCCACTCAGTAGGGCTTTCATCTTTCTTTTGCATTTCATTAAATGCTTTATTGATATTCTGGCCATGGGGTACTGCTTCTCTAATCCCTTGAATTACTATAGTTCTTAGGTCCTGCATATGAGTTCTATGCACCGGATCCTGATTATCCCAATTAGGTCTTTGGAGTGGCCATTTAATATCTGCTTGAGGTCCCTGAGCATGTTGAACATCCCACAATCTCATTCCTGCTCGTCTAATCATGTCTCTTTCCTCGGTAGTAAATAATTGACCAAGGATAGATTGCATTTCATCCCAAGTATAAAGGTTTGGTCCCAAAAATTGATCTAATCTTTCCGCCACTCCGAGTGGGTCCTCAATTAGGTTTCCCATCTCGGTTCTTTTAAAATCTCGTAGGTCTACCAAGCTTAGGGGTACAGAAATATATCCAATCACAGGTTGAGGTCCTCCCATGGGCATTTCCCTTAAAGGATACATCTGAGCTGCCCCTTTTTGACTTCTAGTCACGCGTCTAGGAGGAGGGGGAGACCCTTGTTCTGATTGTGGTGGGGGAGTGGGCGCTCTGGGGACCTCTGGAGGGGCTGCAGGAGCAGGCGGGGGAACGTAAGGAGGGGGAGTTAGAAGAGTTTCATCTAACTCTTCCTTCTTTTTCTTTTGTTTAGTTTTTATTTCATTCAGCGGGTAAAGTCTAGCTCTCGGTTTCTCGAGCCACACTTCCACATATTGACTCTCTTCCGGGTTAAGGGATTTTTACTATTAACCCAGAGGTTTAATTGCTGTCTTACCCAATCTTCTCCTGACCCATAAACTGGCCAAAAGACATGTTTAGAAATCTTCTTCCCTCCCCATATCTTAGTACAATATTCTATCATCTTCTGCTTATCTTTCCCTAGGGTTCCAGGGAAGTATTCCCAGTTGTCTAAGATGTATGCCAGAGGGGTATTCTTTGGTACAGTGGGTACCCTTCCCATGGGAGTCGAAGGCTTGCTGCCCTTCGCCCCCATCTTCTGAATTATCTCCAAACACACACTCACTCGCTCCCCTTGTTCCTGGCCCAGTCCCTCGCGGGAAATGGGAAATGCAGTACTTAAGGGTCCGCACTCGCTTGGTTCAGTATATCGAACCTCTCATTCGCTATACTTCAGGAAACCCAATCCCGCCCGAACGGTAAACCTGCGAATAAATCCGCAATATACCTACGCGTCCTGCGTCTTCGTCCGGACTCCTGTGCACAGAATTTTTATGGGATTTTACCGGTTTTTCCTTTGCTCATTATTCTAGAATTTAGGTTCGTCGGTAAGGATGGGGTGGGCTATCAGTCGCGGGGCCGCGGATTGCCGCGGGGCGCCTCCCCGGAGGACAGATATCCACCGTTCCTTATCTGAGTCACGGCACCATGAAATTGTTATAAATTGAGACTACAATGGGTCGTAATCCAATTAAAATTTTATTAATTATAGCAAGTAGAATACGAGCAAAAACAGCGCTGGACGACAGGGGAGTCTGCGCTCCACCAACTGCCGTACTGAGTAGTACAAACTGTCCCTTTTTATACATTTTGTCTCCCGTTCATAGAGTGGTGGAGATGCTATGTTCCAACTGTTGCTGGGGTCTAGAGTGGTGGAGATACTCTGCGCATGTGCCAACTGTTGCTAGGGGGTCGTTTTCTGCCTTCTGGTGGTCGATGATATCCTTATGTGGAGTTGTTTTTCTTCTGTTATCCGACCTTTAAGTCTTAATAAACAATATACTTAGCTCATAGTTTCTTACATCTATCAAGTGCTGTACTTTACGTATAACCTAAACTCAGGTAATGAGTCAGGTCTGGCTTGATGTGGAGGCTGAGATTATGTAACCAAACCAATACAAAAAATTGGGATTCTTCTTAAATCCCAATTAAGGAATTGTTCTCAAGCCTGTCAAATCAGAACACGGTTAAACAACTTCATAGTGACAACGATTTCACTTCAAAAGCCCAAACCACAGCTTTGGAGGGCAGTCGCGAGGCTGCATTTTCCCGTTGGCTGACAGATGTATTTAAAGCTTTGTAATTGCATTCCTATCGTTTCCTAAGTGGACAGGCTCATAGCCAAGGAGGACATCAACGGTGTGACTTAGCTGGACAATCGAGAGTGCTCGCTGAGGAAATTAAACTGTTAAAAGTTTTCTTTCCCAGCTCCTGGTCCTCAGTCCGTACGTGCCCCATTTTGCTCTGCCGAGGGGTGGTGGACCGCAGGGCGGTGAGCTGGGTGCGATCCTCCTCCTCTCTCAGGAATTACGCAAAAGCCTCGAGTTGCTCAAACCATCTTTGATACAGAATCCACCTCGATGAATATATTTATGGCATTTAGGAGTGATTAAACTTGGGCAACTGATTTCTCAATGCTCACAGGAACAGGAACAGCACAGTTGGGTTTGGGTGGTGATGCTCTGACAGCCACTGCATCCCTCCTGCAGATCTCTGTCTGCAGAGAGAAATGCTTATCAACGGGAGAGCCGTGATCAGTGATTCCGTGGCATCTTCCTTTCAGGGTGACATGTTGTAAAGACACCGGAGCATCAGATGAGTAACCCTTGAGGTAAGGCCTAATTGTTGGTTTGGGGTTTTCCCTGCTTTCTGTCGTGGCAGTGTGGGGATATGTCAGGTGTGAGGTAGATTTTCTGTCTGCTTTTTGATTTGTGATGAACAGACATAATCCAGATGTGGCAGGGAGTCTGCCCAGCCTTGCTGGTTGAACGGCTTCAAGTCAGCAGTTCATGGAGAGTTAGAAGAGTAACGATGGATAAATCCTAACACAAAGTCCACCGGCAGACAGTGCCTGCTCTGCCTTCCCCCATCACCCCGGAGGAGCGGATCTCCCTCCCGACGGGACGGGAGTGTCCGAGGATGCAGCTCCTTGGTGCTGAGCCGCCGCCTTTCCAACACCACCCATAGTGCTGCCAGGCCTGCACCAGTGATCCCCCTGCCATTCCTTGCACGCAGCCGTGGGTCCCAGCTCCCCCCCCCCCCAAGCCCTGACACTTCTTTGGCTCTGGGCTCCCTCCCCAGTGTGCCCCAGCCCCCCTTTCCTGGAACCCCTCCTCCCCACCAGCTCTGATTTCCCCAGTCCCCTATGCTGGGATCCTCAGAGTCGCTCCTAACCCTGGCCCCTTCCAGCCCTGGCCCGGTGCCTCCCAGTCCCTGTGCCGGTGTGGCCCCACTCCCCCTGGCCATGCCCCACTGCAGAAGATGCCACCACTGGCAGAGATGGGATGAGCCCATCCCATTGGACCCCCCCACCCTGAGACACCCTGGACTCGGGGCCGTCCCGTGGACTGTGTGGGGCTGGGAGGCCCCAGGTTTGGGGTGGCCCCATGGGCTGTGTGGGACCCCAAGTTTGGTGTTGCCCCATAGGTTGCATGGGGCAGTGGGCTCCAGGTGACCCTGTAGGCTATGTGGGGGGTGCAGGGCCCTGGGCTTGGGGCAGCCCCAGAGGCTGCGTCCTGAGATGCCAGCGTTCCCAGAGGCTCTGTGGGGAGGCCCCATAGGCTCTTTGGGGAGGCCCCATAGGCTGTGTGGGGCTGAACAGCCCTGGGCTCAGAGCAGTCCTTGGGCTGTGTGGGGCCAAGGGGCACTGGGACTGGGGTGATCCTATGGGCTTTATGTGGCTGCAGGGCTCTGGACTCGGAGGGGCCCTGCAGACCGTGTGGGGCCGCAAGGCTTGGGACGGCCCCAAAGGCTGTGGGGGGACCTTGGAGCCCCCGCCTCAGGGCAGCCCGTGCAGGCTGGCCCTGTGCTCCTGCATGGCACGCAGGGGACTCTTTTAGCACACGTTGTGGGTTTGCTACCCAAGAGTGCCAGCTGAGTGCTCCCTCGAGCAGCGGGAGCGTCACCTTGATTTTCCTGTTCTCTCAGGACGTGCAGGCAGGGCAGTGCCCGAGCGGAGGCACAAGGCAGAGCGCCCCACAAAGCCCAAACCCCCGTGTTCAGCTGCGCGGTGCTGCCCAGCGCTCACGAGCCCATGAGTTTGCAGGGTTTGCTTATCGGGGGTGTGGGGGGGTCACAGCGTGCCTGGGAGCACGACTGGGTTAGTCTCGGTGACGGTGATGAGTGTTTTTGGGAAGAGAGCAAGTAGATCATGTTTCATAAGGCTGGTAAAGCTGTTGATTGTGAGTTGAGTGGGGACAAGAGGCCGAGTCACCTATTGCAGCCATTTGGGAGGGTGTGAGTGGAGCTGTTTGGCTGGAAGAGCTGAACTGAATTAGAGGTTACTGTTTGGTTCTTTGCTAATCCTTAATCTCTTTAATTCTTCTCTAGGTGGTAACACTTGAAATTAGAAGTGGGTGTGGACCCACCACCCACCTTGGAGGTGGGTGTTGAGCTGCTCCCTTTTAGGTGGGAGATGTTTCTGGGTTTGGTACAAACAAGGTGGCAGCTGGGCTTGTTGTTTCTGTCTGCTGAAGCTATCATGCCCTGAGCAGAGCAGCCAGAAGTTGTGGGGCAGTAACTCAGACTCTGTCCTGAGCTATCCCAGATTTAGAGCCAAGATCAGCCCTCCTGACTGTTCTCTAAACTCAGTTGAAACAGTTCAAAGCAGAATGATTGTGTGCTAACCCCTACATCAGCCCCGGTTTAGAAAAAGAATGGTTTTGTGCACTTATCCCCACCCAGCTCTGCTATGGAGAGAGAAGGGCTTTTCTCATGATACTTAAAAGTATTCTGAAGTTTCTCGGGGCTAGGAATGATGGATAAAACCTGAGGAAACCAATGAATGAAGATATTACCCTCTTGTGTTGGTACTGGTTGGGCTGTCCTTTGCTTTCCCTTGTTTCACCTTGAAGCCTTAACAGTCTTATGATTGAGGAAACCTGCTGTGTCTTTCACAGGTCTCCTGCTGAAATCCAGAAAGTCTTTTCACTGTCGGAGCGAGTGTTGTATCAGCTCTCTGATGACATGAGGGTTCCTGCAGAGCTCTTCTTCCTGCAGCCTGTTGTGTATGAATGGAGGCAGAGCTCTGAAATCATCTGCGCACTGCTGATTTACGGAGGGTTTGCTGATGGCCACATCTGTGGGGTTGTAAAATATTTTTGCAGTAAACGGAGCTCTGGCAGCTCTGTTTTGTTTCCTTTCTTCTGGTGAATGGTATTGGGATATAATTTAATTCAGGGATTTAATTTAAGGACTTGAGTGACTCATTTGGAAAAGAAGCCATTCTCTGTGGAATGAGAAGGTGATACTGCTGCTGAATGGTGGGACCTGGATGAGGAGACTAAGGAGAGCGGTTTATTCCTGTGTCTGCTCTTCTCTCACAAAAACTTACAAAAAGCAGAAGAGATTTATGGTAAAGAGAGATGAGGGCTGTTTAGAGCTCCGTTTCTAATCGTTAATTGACCTCGTTCCTTGTATTGGGATCGTGTGTCCCGCAAGCTGAAGGTTCCTTTCCTCTCTTAGCAGGTCTGAGGAGAGCAGCCAGGATGCCGCATCGCACCATTCATCTTTTCCGGAAGGGACTTCGGCTTCATGACAACCCAATGCTGCTGGCCGTGCTGGAGTCCTCGGAGGTCATCTACCCTGTCTACATCCTGGACAGAAAGTTCATGGTGTCCATGATGCACATAGGGGCCCTGCGGTGGCATTTTCTGCTGCAGTCCCTGGAGGATCTCCAGAAAAACTTGTGTCGGCTGGGCTCTTGCTTGCTGGTTATTCAAGGAGAGTACGAGTCTGTTCTTAGAGATTGCATCCAGAAGTGGAACATCACGCAAGTGTCTCTGGATGCAGAGATGGAATCGTTTTACAAGGAGATGGAGGCTAACATACGGCGTCTGGGAGATGAGCTGGGGGTTGAGGTCCTTACTCTCGTGGGCCACAGTCTGTATGATACCAAAAGGTACATGATTTCCTGAAGACCAGTGAGGTGTCTCTGGGAAGGTTTGTTTTAGATTTAGCAAGCATCAGGGAGAAAAGGCCAAGTCTCTTGCTCTTTCTGGATCCTAATATGTTCCTTTTGAGAAAATTGGACTATCCAAGATGAACGTGGCACTTTTTTCTTGGAGAATTTTTGTGTGTTGGTCTGCTGGAAGTAACAGAAGAGATTTTGCACAGGTGTTAGGATGTTGGACTGTGATTTGAACCTAAAGTGTTTGTTAATTTTTTCCTTTTGGGCAGTTTAATTCACTTAAAAACTTATATTAGTTAGTCTTTTAAACAGAGTAGAAGAAATTCTTTAACACATTTAATATGACTTTTACATACATTTTTTGTGTCAGATTTGGTTTTATCTTTCTAATCAACTTTCAGTGGTGTCTGGATACACTTGGATCCAAGCTGTTTATTTAGAGCTGAATGACTGAAGATATTGAAATTAATAATAATAGGGTGGTAATCAGTAAAACAGCCTTAACGCTTCATTTGTGGAAAGCCCCTAATTTAAGTATATGAGTGGATCTATGTGACTTGCTTTCATGAATTCAAGCTGCCTATTCGCACAAGTGGTTGGTCACACAGAAGAGTTATTTACTGCCCTGAACCTGTTTTTTTGTGATCTGGCTGCCTCTGGCAGCCCCAGAGGTGTCCTGCACATTACCCTTTGCTGCCCTGGCTATGGCTGGCTGTACAGAGCTGCCCAGTTGAAGCTGTGGCTGGCACCCCAGTCCCAACTTTGTTGTGTCAAGTCCTACAGACTGCTCTCGGGATGGATGTACATTCACCCAGGGAAGTTCTACTTGTAAAATCTGTAATTTCCACAATCAGATGCATGAACTGGGGCTGTTCCAGCCTGTGCTGTCACCATCCTATCCACTGGCAGCTCCAGCTTCCTCCTTGGTTTGTATTATGGTGAAAAGTGATCTTGTTTCATTTAGAATTTTGGACCTGAATGGTGGGACTCCCCCATTAACATACAAGAGGTTCCTTCACATTCTGTCTCTGCTTGGTGACCCTGAGGTGCCTGTCCGAAACCTTACAGCTGAGGACTTCCAGTAAGTACCAGCTAGCCAGCAGGAAACTGCAAATCCCTTTTCCCTGCCCAGAAAAGCCAGGGCCAAATGATAACGGGATGTTTTAGATGCTAGGTTGCATTACTTTTGTGCGTGGAAGGTTATTGATTGTATCTCCAGGAGATGTGATTCTGCTGTCAGGAGGGGAGGGCAGATGAGAGGTGGCACAGTCCAAAGGCTTAAGCTTTTGCAAAGGCACATTGAGACAAACTTTTAAAGTATATAAAAGTTTAACAGAGGAATGACTAAGGAATTACAGGTCTCTTTCTCAAAGGCATGCTCTAGATTCCTCTCAACTCAAGATTTAGGGCAGGAATTAGATGAACCTCTGTAGTTTGTTTTATGCAGGAAGTTTGATGCAATAATTATACCGTTTTCTTCTGGCTTTAAATCTTTTCTTTCCTCCTCTCTGCTGTATGGGAAGGAGGGACCATGTTCATGTCTCTCAGGACTTTTGAAGAAGCTCAGAGTCAAGGATGTTTACGTTTAGCTCTGCATGAGGAAAAGTCAGTGATCTCAAGGGAGATAAGATTGGGTTAAGAGAGAGCTGGCCACTGGGGATGGGACTGCAGATTCTTGGGACTTCTGTGTCAGATGTTTCCTGCGTGACCTCAGCTCCCTGTCAGTAACCTAGGCTTAAATCTTCCCATCTTGGGGGAATCCTGATAATTCAAGAATGTTGTTTTCAGATAGTCTGATGATAAGACCCGTGTAAGTATGGGGATATATTGATTCCTATAGTTTTTCTTGCACTGTTTTCTGCCTCTCCCCCCCTTTTTTTTTCCCCTAATTTATTTATTTTCACTTTTTAAATTAATGGTGATGAGAGGTAAGTGGTTCACAGGCTTCCCAGCAGGCCTGTGTTATGCCAGTGCTCCGAGAGCTGCACTGGCCCCTTCTGTAGGTGTCAGCAACAGAGGTGAGCTCAGTTTTTTCCAGGTAAGTAGAAACATCTCTATTGATATCAGAGTTCATTCATTGTTTTTAAGAAGTCTGCATACCACTGACACTCCTTGGAACCTCCTCCTCTGTGGTTTACAGGTGGGAAAAAACCATACCCTGATGCTCTTCCAGCCTCACAGAGGGCAGGGGTTTTGGGGAAGCCTCAACGGTGGAGGCTGCAGGAGGGATGTGGGGAGACTAATCAGAGGCGTGGGCTTGGGGAACCCCACCTTGGTTAGGAAGGAGCATCTGGAGAGGCAGCCCAGGGAGCTGATCTGCCTCCTTCCCTATGAAACCTCTCCCAGAGCAACCTCTCATCAGAGGCACGGGAGCTGGAGCAGCCTTTGGAGGCAGCACAAAGCCCCCAAATTGTGTTTGGAGTCTGAGTTATCTCTTAGCTGCCTCCCAGGGATGGATGGGACAGCTGGAGAGGAGGTGCCTCCAAGTCTTAGGTAGCGGATGGGAAGTGAGATGGGAAGAGAAGTCTGAGCTGAGGGGGCAGCAGCTGACTTCTCTGAGTGCTGTAATTTGGTGGGTCTGTTCATCTTCCCTCAATTCAGCCTAGAATTACCTGGAGCGATTGCAGGATGAGCTCTTTCTCCCCCAAGGAGAGTGCAGCCTGGGGTTTCTGGCTGTGCTTTCATTCCCCTGTGCTCTGGCTCATGACAGAGGAGATCCAGGCGTGGGCAGGGGTCTTCCTCCCTCTTCTGGCTCCCGTTCCCTCTTTGAAAGAGCCCTCTCTTTCACATTAGGAGATGTAGGCCTCCTGACCCCGGCCTGGCTGAGTTCTACAGGGTGCCTCTCCCCGCAGATTTAAAGATCCCCCTGAAGAGCCTTTCCCCCTGGAGAGGAGGGGAGACTGAAGGGCTACAGCGCCTGGAGCAACACTTGACTGACCAGGTCAGCCTTGATTTTACATGGGTGATAATGCTGGCTCTAGATGGGCTGAGGTTAGTGTCCACCTTGCTCCTTTTATGTGTGGTTGTGTCTGAACCTCAAGGAACTGCTCAGCTGTTCCAGCTCTAGCTAAGTTTTTCCTCACCGGGGCTCAGCTCTTGGCAGGCAGGTCTGCCTTGGTGCTGGCTGCTTTTAAGCAGATGCTTTACCCACTCCCAATTCCATAAAGTGGAAAAGATCTTCAGTGTGGTGGTGTTGGACTGAGAGCTGTTCCCCGTGTTCCAAAATTACCGGGCTCTCTGGGGAGAGCAGAGCTTCACCAGCACCCATGGGTGAGACGTGGCCTTGACATCGGGTTGGAGGAGGTCTGTCTATTTGGAGAATTTGGAGGAGGATATCAGCCTGGTCTCAAGATTTTGTTGTCCTTGATGGTGGCATTTGTGGGAGGATGGGTGGTGGGAGCATTTTCCAGGGATGACATAGAACAGGCCTCTGTGATGCAGAAGCCAATTGCCAAGAGTTTGTTCCCTGTTTTGTTAGCTGGACATGTGTCACCTTGTACTGCCTGAACCTGGATTTCTGTTTTTCTTTTAGGGCTGGGTGAAAAGTTTTACTAAACCAAGAACAATCCCAAATTCACTCCTTCCAAGCACCACAGGCCTGAGCCCGTATTTCAGTATGGGCTGTTTGTCAGTTCGCACCTTTTTTTATAGGTTGTCAAACATTTATGCTCAGGTAAGAATATAATTCATCATAGTTAAGCAAATCCAGAACTCACATGTGTCTGGCATGTGAGGCTAGGATTTAACTCCTATCATCTTGGTAGAGACCTGGTGCATCAAAAAAATGCTACTTTGCTAAGGTCTTCTCACAGCACCTGTGAAATCTGTGAGTTGCTTTACATGTTTTTTGAAACACCTGTGAATGTATACAGCTTTTCCCAATTAAGTCTTAGAAATATGGTAAATAGGGAGCAATAAGACCTGGAAGCAACAAGGAAGCCCAGGAAAACCCTCCTAAAATTCAAGGAGTTCAAGACGTCTGCTTGATGTTTAAGTGAAGTTTTTCATCTGTTTAGCCTGTTCAGGCAGTTTTATTTTTAGAAGGCATCTGTTTTCATCTTAGACAAGTTTTAACTATAGTGTAAACCAATCAAGGAAACCAAGGTGTCCCTGAACCTCGTTCTTAAGAGTATCTGTTTAAACATGGCTGAGACACCTGAATTCAGCTAGCCAAGCAGTTAATACGTTAATAAACACATTTGGTTTCAGAAATCCCAGTGTGACACCATTTTGGAAGGTAGATAGAGGATGTTTGAGTCAACACTGAGGTCTAACAGAGTTTAGCTTTGCTTGTGGGCATATAGCATTTGTCTTTGATTTCTTTGACTTTCATGGTAAAGTGCCATGAAGCCAGTAGTGTAATTAGATTAATACTGATTTCAGGGACCTGACAGTCACAAAGTGAGTGAGACTGCAATGGTGTATATGAACTGAAGCTTTCACCTCATGTGTCTTTTGCAGGCCAAGCATCACTCTCTGCCCCCAGCATCGCTCCAAGGGCAGCTTCTGTGGAGGGAATTTTTCTATACGGTGGCATCAGCAACACCAAACTTCACCAAGATGGCTGGGAACCCCATCTGCCTTCAGATCAGTTGGTGTGAGGATGCAGAGAGGCTCCACAAATGGAAAATGGTAACAAGATGCATTGCCACAACTGCTATGCTTCAGTTTAGAGTTTTTCTATTGCCTTGGGGTTGCTCCCTGCTGGCTGTTTGAGGTGGGGCTTGCAGGAGTGTGCGAGAAAGAAGTTTTGAAGGTTTGTGCAGGAGGACTGAGGTTTATTTTCTGCTGCAGGCACAGACAGGTTTCCCGTGGATCGATGCAATTATGACCCAGCTGCGCCAGGAAGGCTGGATACACCACCTTGCTCGGCACGCAGTCGCCTGCTTCCTGACGCGGGGGGGACCTTTGGATCAGCTGGGAAGAGGGCATGAAGGTTTGCTTTGTTTTTTTTTTTTTTTTTTTTTTTTGTTTTCTATGTTCTGGCTGACCTTGAGAAACCCCTGCAAAATGTGAGCCTGGCAGTGGGAGGTGGTACTGCACGGCAGTGCTTTGTTACTGTGCCTTGCTACAAATCTCATGGTTTATGAAATCTCATGGTCTCTCACTTGAGTCTGAGCCCTGCTGCACCCAGTGCACCACTGAAATGTCGTTCCCGTCCCCAAGACCTGATGATTTGGGATGATGAGGATTATTGGAGACCTGCTCAGTCTGCAGTAGGCCTCAAAGCCAGACCTTTGGGCTTTGGGTTGCTCTGTCACAGGGTCCTGTTCTAGCTTCCTTCTGGCAAAGTGTCTTGCTGTGAGCCTGCCCTGTGAGAAGGGTAGTGCAGGCCAGCACAGTGCCAAGCTTCATCCTTCATCCCGCAGCCTTTTTTTTTTTTGTTTTTGTTTTTTGCCATGAAGGCAGCCTTTTCAGGGGTGTTTCTCTCTTTCTCTTCCCATCCCTGAAATGCAGGTGTTTGAAGAGCTGCTTTTAGATGCTGACTACAGCATCAATGCAGGGAACTGGTTGTGGCTGTCGGCCAGTGCGTTCTTCCACCAGTACACGCGGATCTTCTGCCCCGTCCTCTTCGGGAAGCGCACAGACCCCCAGGGGCAGTACATACGGTAGGGCGATGCACAGCCTGGCACTGTCTGCTCTGTTAGCACTTCCCTGGCTCCTCTTACAGCAGGAGCTGATGAACCCGGTCTGTTTGGAACACATACCCCTGTGAAATAGGGGTCATAGCAATGGTGTTATTTAACACACGAGGCACAGAGAAGCAGAGAGTGCCCGTGGTTGCACAGGTGATGTGTTGTATTGATTCGTGAGCACCTGCTGGCTCCAGCACTGTGTTTGATCTCCGGGCTGACTCCTCTTTCTAAAGAGCAAAACTTCCCACAGCTCCCCCCTCTCCAGACTGTGCTGTGCTTCCTGGTTTTGTAGGTGGTCTAATTAATTTCAGACACTTAGGTTTTATTTTCCCCTCTGAGTCCTCTTTGCTTCAGAGTCTCAGTTTCTTTATTTCTGGCTAAGATACTGATGGGCTTTCCCATAAATAGTGGGTGATTTTACAGCTGACTGCAACAGGAGCAGACTCTGTTGATGTTGAGCAAGTAACTTCATTTCCCCGCATCTCCTCTTCCTCACATTCTGTCTCACCTTGTCTTGTCAAGGGGAAGCACATGCTGACATTCCTGACAGAGTGGGACAGAAAATTACTTTCTCATTCTGTAAGAATTTTTTAGATTTTTAAAATCAGTTTGGTTTTGAAATTTGTTAAAGTTTAGGATGAAATGTCAGTGAAAATGTTAAAACCAAAATATTTTTGATGAAATAAAAACTGAAGTAATGTTTAAATCAACCAATTTATTCTATGCTGTAAAATTAACTTTTGGAAGGTATCGCCCTACAGAGGGTTTCAGAACATAAAAACTGTCCTTTTGTGCAAAATGAATCGGAACTTCCCCATGGATTGTAGTAGCAGGACAATCACTGAGAATTAATATGGTATAGGTTGGTTTATACTTCTCTTAAATGTATGAATATTTGTCTGCAGGATTATGAAACCCCATATTAGTCCTGTCTTGTAGGAAATACTTGCCTATACTAAAGGACTTTCCCTCCAAGTACATCTATGAACCCTGGACGGCACCTGAAGAGGAGCAGAAGGAAGCAGGGTGTATCATAGGTAATTCATTTGGATACCTTGCTAAGGATTTTGCTGCTGCTAACTGTCCAAAATAATTACATGCATGAGATGATGAAGTATCACACTTCCATTACAAGCCGTGCATTTATCTTCTGAAAAGGGATTAATCCGGCAGTCTACCTTCTGTCAATTCTCCTTTAAAGTTTTTTACTGGAGTCTAATTTCGGAGTACGTATTTATACCTCAACTTCATGTCCTAAAACTATTGGATCGCTCTAAGTTGTTGCCTTTGCATTTATCTCTCCCGGCTGCTTGGATGTCTTTAAATAGTATCTGAACATCTTGTGCTTTACACTTCCTCTAATGCATCTTTGAAGTCTTTTATGAGCTTATGTCTAAATGGGAGCTCTTGCTCTTTGGTGGAGAGAAATAGGCACTTCTGAAGAGTGGGTCACATGGTCTATCTTAGATGCCATTTATTTTAAGTAAGGCTGCAAGCATTTGCCCTCCTGCATATCCAGTGAAATGCCCTTGACTAGTTCTGTAAAGGCTGCTGTCTCCATGTTGCACCAGGTCATGATTACCCCTTCCCAATGGTGAACCACAAGGAAGCCAGCGATCACAACCTGCAGCTGATGAAACAGGTCAGAGAGGAGCAGTACAGAACAGCCCAGCTCACGAGAGGTGAGAGGTGCTGCAGCACTGCACGTCCAGTGTACGGCGACTCAGAGGCTGTCACCAGCCTTGGCGGCTGGTTTTGTGTTGATTTCCAGGACGCCTTTCCTCCTGGTTGCCGTTGCCATGCGCTGCTCTTCTAGTTACTGCTAAAATGGGAAAACCAGAGGATAAGCAGTGTCCCTCCCCTTCTGGCTGCTCTTGCAGGATGGGAGCTTGCTTGTGCCTGCTGGAGGAATGCCTTCCCAAAAGCAGAGCTTCTCTACCTTCTGTGGGTCCGCACAAACAGAATCCCCAGGTTTGACAGGTGTATCGCCAAGGTGCAGAAATCTCTGCAGCTCTTCCCAGGCCTCTTGTGAACCAGAGGATCACTGTTTGTCATTTTTACCATGATATACCCTGCCCCATAGCAGGAATTATTTGAAGTTCCCACTGACCACTAATGAATGAAAAGCCCTTGAGAGCTGAGTTGCTCTAAGAAATTTATCTTTTGACCTTGTTTTCTAAATAAGCATATGCATAACGAAACTGTAGTTAGCTGCTAAGGCTGGAACGCTCAAACTTTGGGGGGAGCCTGAATTAATTATGTATTTCCAATCACACAGATATTTCATTTAAATGGCCCCTGTGTTCTTAAAATTGAAATCCTAGGGCCTGTGATGAGCTCTTAGCTTCACAGGGATCCTTTGCAGGAAGGAAAGTGAAGCAATGCTTTTGTATTTAAGAATAAGCCATAGCACCTTGGGTATATATTACAGAGATTCAACATGCAGCAGCTGAGGAGAGTCTTAAGCACTCCTGCCACAGTTGCTGTGCTCAGGAGGAATTTATTGTTCCCAATCCTGTGTGTACTAATGTATCCAGGAGGTTGGACATTGGTACCTTCCAGATATAACCAATACACACTGACAGTTCTCCCACACACCCTGCAGTATAGGGGAGTAAATGTTACTGTGATTGCAGTTGGAGATATGGAAAGCCAAAATCTGAGAACTGGAGTCCCCTGCTCCCAGCGTTATTCTTGTTTCCTGTAAATAGAAGCATTTTCTGGCATGGTCTGTAACTTCACCCGCTACTGTCATTGTGGGCTGCTGCACTGAAGTCGGAGGAGGACTTGCGAACTTTAATTCTTCTTTCCTTCTTGCCCTAGATGATACAGATGACCCAATGGAAATGAAGGTAAAGCGTGACCACTCTGAAGAAAACATTTCAAAAGGAAAGGTGGCCAAAATGACAGAACGAAATGAGATCCTGTCAGGGATTACCTGTTGGGAACCAAAAAATGGCAGAAGGGGAGAGCCAGAGGCCAGATGAACTGGACAAACTGTACTCAGTACTTTGTCCTGCAAATGGTGCCTCTTGCTTGTGAACTGTCCTCCAAGAAAAGTGTTGTTATTTTTTAATTGAATATGTAGTTATTTTGAATGAAATTGTCCATCTCTGAGTGGCTTACAAGCCGTTTGTTGCAGCTATTGGGTAAATTCAAGAGGTGACTGGTTTTGACAGGACATGATGCTATAGTATTGTTCAAATCCACTTGATGCTCATGCATCTGTATAAATAGTTTTTGTGATAAATACTAGTCTTTCCAACATGTTAGATAAATGTCAGCTGAGGGCTATATGCACATTAATGTGATCACACATTAGTGTTCAAAGCTTGTTTTGCCTGCCTTGTAGAGACAGAGATTTTCAGATAGGGTTTTTAAGTTCAGTTTGTGCTTGTAGTCCCCAGTTCGGGGAGATAGAGCAGAATGCAGCTGCTATATGGTCATGTGTAGTTCTTAGGACTTAAATGGGACTTCTTATGCATTTTTAAGGACAATGTTGCAAAATGTCTCACTGAATTAGGGCTGATGTAGAACTTTTTTCACCATAACTCTTCTTATTGGCTAATTCCTCTGGAACTGTGGGGTAGATATTATTTTTATCATGTATCACATGTAAAAATCTACCCTTCCATTGAAATGTCCCATAGTGAAGTTTTGCAAGGCTGGATTAGTCATTTATCTTTATGGTTGGGGTTTTGGTGGGGGGTGTGGAGTGGGTTTTTAATCACTGTAGGTACTATTTTTGGTTTCAAAAGAAATAAAAATTATTTCTGACATGAAAAATGTAAGGTTTCTAGAGCAATCTGTTTATCACAGTTGGCATCCAACTCTGGAAACCCAGCTGCAAGACAACTCCAGCAGCAATCCAGTGCACCCAAACTCCTTCACCTCGAAAGCATCAATGGACCTAGTGCAGAAGCAGCACGGGACCCATGTGCACCAGGAGGAGGCCAACAACTGCTCCTAGCAGCATCTTCCAGCAGTGCTGGTGACCTGCAAGACCTGTCACAGGGAAGTGCACACTGGCAGCAGGACGGCACTGCCTTCTGCTTCTGCAGTAAATACAAACACTTCCCGGACTGTCAGACTGCTCTGAGAGGCTGGTTGTACCCCCAGCTGCGCCAAGGCTGCATCGAGCTCCTCGAGATGCTGATTGTTACTTGACATTTTAGCTCTTCAGCAAACCTAATGATTCGCAAGGATGACCAGAAGAAAGGCAGTTACCGAACCCTTTATGAGAAGAGGGCCAATGCAGCGCTTGTTACTTCGGGGAAGATGACTGATGCTCTGAAGCCTCCTGTCATCCGTCATCTTTTTAATTGGGTTCCTTCCTGTGCTTAAAGTAATTTGATGCATCTGTGTCTGCAGTGCTATAGCCCAGTGTAGGCGGCCACAGGAATGCAGAGCTGGTTCTTGCCTCATGTTTGAAGGCAGAGTCATTGCCTTCAAGCCCTAAATGAGCTGGTCTTTGGTTACCTAAAACATCTCTGCCTTGAAACACTTTGTGTCAACCTCAGCTTCATTGTGACTCCTGGGAACTGCCTAGTGCAGCAGAAGACAGGACAATCAGCAGCTGTTGAATGTCTTTTGGTGTTCAGCATCACCTCAAACATTGTGGTGAAGGAAATGACTTTGGATGCTCAACAGTCATGAATGTGCATGTAGTCAGTGTGGCATCCACCCTAGGAGGAGAGACTTTCAACCATGCAGGTGACCTTGTTTGGCCATCAAAGGAGTTGGGAGGATCAAGACCTCCTTAGGACTCCTTTTGTTGCAAAGCAGTTGCGTGGTCTGGTCTTTGGTTGGAAGGAATAGGGCTTGTGCCTGCTAAGGAGTTAAGGTAGGAGCAGGAGCAAAGTTTGAGCAAGGAAACCTGCTCAGTTGAACTCTAAGACAGCTGCCTCTGACTCACAAAGTAGCAGTGGAGAAGTTCCTGTGAAGCAGGAGATCTGAGGTCTAGTTTGGGACCTCATGGCAAAAAGACTTGCTCAGTAAAAATGAATTCTGAAAGAGGGTATTTCTCTCTGCATCTTCTTCTTCTCTGTTGTGGGAACCCTGACCTTGGAGGCAACAGTATTTGCATATGGAATTGGTCAGATTTTGAGCCAACAAAATGCACTGGGCTTTCTGCTGATGCAGATCTCTCAGTTATTGGGCATGGAGATGGGCAATGGTGTCTTTGTTGTGCATGCCTTGTGTGAGGCATAGCTGCTCCAGCTTGGCAGTGGTAATATCTGAATTTGGCCCATCTTAAGTGCATTAACTGCAGTAGGAAGACGTGTCTGATGATGATTGATCTTGCTTGACTTTTTTATTTTCTTTGCCACTCCTGCCCCTCCCTTGGCTCCCTCACTCCTCTCCAACATGGAGAAAGTTTCTCTGTGTGTCCTGGTGATATTTTTCCACATTCTTCCTTCTTTATGAGGCTTATCTTTTTGTTTACATTTTGTGGGTTAGGGCTTTAGGTGTCTCTTCTGATCTCATTTCCTTTGCTTTGCGTCCCAGTTGACGGAACAGGCACTTACGCTGTGGTGAATCAGGCCATAGGTAGGTGACCAAATTAGGTCATCTGCCTGCCGTGACTTCTGCTTCAGGGGGGCCCTTCCTAACCAGACACGGCTGCTTTAGCATTTTGCCAACAGTGGAGTTGATGAGAGAACTTCCCTCCCTATTGTTGAAGAAACCTTCACTGCTGATAGTGTTCAGTTCAACCAACTTCACCACTTGGCCTGAAGGATTGAAATCACTAGCTGAAAACAGGAATGACTGCATAAACTTATCCTGGAGGACTCGCCCCTGGGCGGGTCTTTGCCAGGAATGACAGCAGAGGGCTGTTCCATGCCTCAACTCAATAAGGTCACCTCCGAGGTGTGAGGTCTGCTGGATTGAACCTTGCGTAGGAAGTACTGCTGCAACTGACCCTATTAGTCTTATATTTTCGGTGCTGAAGCATTTATATTCCAACCTCTTGATGATAACTCCCTTCTCCAAGTGATAGAGGAGCCAACAAGCAGAGGTGCTGTGCTGGACCTTGTTCTCACCACCAAGGACGGGCTGGTGGGGAGTGTAAAGCTCAAGGGCAGCCTTGGCTGCAGTGACCATGAAATGGTGGAGTTCAAGATCCTCAGGGCAGCGAGGAGGGTGCACAGCAAGCTTGCTACACTGGACTTCAGGAGAGCAGCCTTTGGCCTCTTCAGGGCTCTGCTTGGCAGAGAAGCATGGGATAAAGCCCTGGAGGGAAGAGGGGCCCACGTAAACTGGTTAAAATTCAAGGATCACCTCCTCCAAGCTCAGGAGTGATGCATCCCAACAAAGAGGAAATGAGGCAAATATTCCAGGTGGCCTGCATGGATGAACAAGGAGCTCCTGGACAAGCTCAAACATGAAAAGGAAGCCTACAGAGGGTGGAAGCAAGGACAGGTAGCCTGGGAGGGATACAGAGAAACTGCCTGAGCAGTCAGGGATTGGGTTAGGAAGGCCAGAGTCCTGATAGAATTGAATTAAATCTGGCCAGGGACGTCAAGGGAAACAAGAAAAGCTTCTATAGGTATGCTGGTGATAAAAGGAAGATCAGGGAAAATGTGGGCCCTCTCTGGAAGGAAGCAGGAGACCTGATCACCTGGGACATGGAGAAGTCTGAGGTACTCAGTGGCTTTTTGGTCTTAGTCTTCAGCATCAAGTGCTCCAGCCACATTGGCCAAGCTGCAGAAGGCAAAGGCGGGGACTGGGAGAATGAAGAACCTCCCACTGTAGGAGAAGATTGGGTTTGAGATCATCTGAAGGTGCATAAGTCCATAGGACATGATCAGATGCATCCACGGGTCTTGAGGGAACTGGCAGATGAAGTGGCTCAACCACTATCCATCATACTGGAGAAGTCATGTCAGTCTCATGAAGTTTCCACTAACTGAAAAAGGGGAAACATAACCCCCATTTTTAAAAAGGGGAAAAAAATAAAGATGCAAGGAACTACAGGCCAGTCAGTCTCACCTCTGTGCACGGCAAGATCATGGGGTCGATCCTCCTGGAAACTATGCTGGGGCACATGGAAAATAAAGAGGTGATTGATGACAGCCAACATGGCTTCACTAAGGGTAAACTGTGTCTGACAAATCCGGTGGTCTTCTACAGGGAGGTTATATTGTTGCTGGATAAGGGAAGAGAAAATCATGTCATTTACCTGGACTTGTGCAAAGCATTTGACACTGTCTCTCATAACATCCTTGTCTCTACATTGGTGAGACATGGGTTTGACAGATGGACCACGCAGTGGATAAGGAATTGGCTGGACGGTCTGACTAAAAGAGTTGTAGTCAACAGCTCAACGTCCAAGTGGAGAGCAGTGATGAGTGCCATTCCCCAGGGGTCGGTGTTGGGACTGGCGCTGTTTAACACCTTTATTGGTGATGTGAACAGTGGGATCGATGCATTCTCAACAACTTCCCTGGTGACCCCGGGCTGTGTGGTGCAGTGACACGCTGAGGGCAGGGATGGCATCCTGAGGGACCTGGGCAGGCTGGAGAGGTGGGGCTGTGTGAACCTCATGGAGTGCAACAAGGCCAAGGGCAAGGTCCTGCCCGGGGGTCGGGGCAATCCCCAGCACAAATCCAGCCTGGGCGAGGAGTGGAGGGCAGCCCCAAGGAGAGGGGCTTGGTGGGGTTGGCGGGGGAAAACTGCCCATGAGGCAGCACCGTGCCCTTGCAGCCCAGAACCCACCCGTGCCCTGGGCTGCAGCCAGAGCAGGGGGGGCAGCAGGGCCAGGGAGGGGATTCTCCCCCTCTGCTCTGCTCTGGGGAGACCCCCCTGCAGTGCTGGGGCCAGCTCGGGGGCCCCCAACAGCAGAAGGACCCGGAGCTGCTCGAGTGGGGCCAGAGGAGGCCACGGAGATGCTGGGGGGGCTGGAGCAGCTCCCCTGGGGGGCCGGGCTGAGAGAGTTGGGGGGGTTCAGCCTGGAGAAGAGAAGGCTCTGGGGAGACCTTTGAAC